TATCTGGTGGACAGAGTGGCGCTAGCTGGGTTCTTCAGAGTGGCTTGATCTCGGGAGAGAAATGAATGGTCCTGGAAATCCCGTGAGGAGGTGTAGGCAGACCCCAATGGCAGGGTCACTTTGCGAGTTGCTTTGGGGGCTCTTGATCCAAACCATGTGGTGAGAGATCATGACAAAAGCAGCACGTCTTTGGCAGCAAGGCGTGAACCCCAAATTTCCCTCCTTTGCTGTGAGCTCTCTGGCTTCACTCCTGTGCTTGAGAGACGGACCCAGACCTGTCCCATCCCCCACCGGGAGGACCCAACGTGAGGGCCACTGCTGCTGTCACGCTGGCGTGTCGAGCCTCCCTGGTCCCAGGGGACCTGCACAACTAACCTAACGTTCCACGGTACTATGGTGACGGCCTTTTCTAAGCACAGAACTAGATCACAGGGCCCAACAGGCATGGTTGGGGTGGCAGGAAAAAAAAACCCAACACTGTGGCTTCTCTGAAAAAGCTGGAAGCAAACATGGCGTCCCTCCCCACGACCCCTGTGAAGGGGAAGGGCCTGTTTGGGAGGGTGAGCAGGCCAGGTGGGCGTGCAGGAGGCTTGTGCGTCTCTGCCACGTCCTGGGGCCGCCATGGGTTTCTTTCACGGACACCTTTCTGCTTTCTCTTCTGCTTCGTCTCTATTCTTGTGACTCAGTTCAAGTTCCCCTTGGCTGGGGCCTGCTCCCTGATGTCACAGAGCGATCAGGCCTGCAGCCTTGGGTGACCTCAGGCGTGCAACCCTGTCCACACTCTCCTGGGACCGTGAACAGTCGCCCTGCCTCCTTGCTCAGTGGACCAGAACCGGCCAGAACCCAGGCAGGATTCGGGGACAAAGCCTTCCTTCTTTCTGTCTTTGGTGCCTAACTCACCCTCATTTCTGTTTTTCTTGAGAAACCTCCGTGACATATGAGACTGGGAGGTATTGGGGGATCTTAAACAATCAATACCATTTAGTACTGCCCACCAGGGGCGGGCCCCAGCCAACGGTCTAACCTACAAGTGACCCTTGATTTGAAACTTAATGCAGGCCTGGAGAATGCATTAAGTGGCGCACTGAATCACGGTGCGTCGAACTCTCAATTTCTGTAAGCACCGTCTTGTGAATTCCAATCCCTGCCTCGGAACCTCATCTCATGCCCACAGCGATTCCGGCAAAATGAAACTGAAAAACACAGATAGCTCTTCAAACATTTATAAACTACAGAAAAAGAGATTCAATAGAAAATCCGTAACAAATGCTCCACCTGGGGGGCCTCTTTTGTCTCTCGGACCGAAATGGACTGGAGGATGCTTCTTAAAATGTTGCTTTAATGAAATCTCCATCGAGGTCGTCGTCTTCCGAAGATCAATCGCACAGCGGTGACGCTTGGTGGAGGCTGGTTTTGCTGGCCAAGGGCAGATTGTGTTTTTCAGCGTCTGGATATTTGGGTTGTTACAGCTTGGGGGTGGGTGGTGGTCCCTCTGGGGTTCGGTGGCTAGAGGCCAGGGATGCTGCTGAATGTTGTACAGCGCACAGGACAGTTTCCTGCGACTAAGGATGACCTGACCGAAGTGACCGTTGTACTGGTGCCCTGCCCTATAGCAAGCATGGACATTTGAAACTGAGTTAAAATTCAGGTTATTATTATTATTATTGTTGTTTGAAAAACAGAAGGTGGGCTGTTGAAAGCTGGGTTTACATGAATGTCTCTCAAAGATTTTAAATGGTCCGTGATGCGGTGGGGGGAGGGGGGAGGGCAGGAGGGCAGCAGTTCGGTGCTGCAGGCTGGCTTCTTTTCTGTCGGGGACTCTGACATGACACCAAGTCAGCCGAGGTGCGTGTGACAGAGACCCAGGGTGTCGATGGGGACAATTATTGCAGCGTAGCTTTGGCTGTAAATACAAGCCTTGGCGATTACGCTGTGGGTTTTATTTATGGAAGAAGCCATAAACAGTGAGTGTGGCCCACAAATCACGCCAGGTAGGGCCTGCACGCAGACGTAATTTACACGGTCCCTCCTAGTTTCCTCTGTTTTTCTGGGATCTTTCAATTTCCTGCTCAGCTAGCATATTGAATCTTCATCATTGCGACTGCATTTCTTGTAATTTATGCTCATTTCTCAGGAACCTTTACAGGGCTGATTGTTCGTGGCAAAGAGCAGACCCTGTGCTCTCCCAAGGGTCGTGAAGGAGGGCTCAGCAGTGGCCTCGGTCACAGCACTTCTTCCTGAAGATCTCAAAGGGCAACACCACCTGAAAGTACCAGGGCACTTATTTTCTGATGCCCTCTCCCCCCCCCGCCCGCCCTTCCCCCCTGGGAAGACTCTATAGCACTTAATCTTTTGAGAAGGTTCTATTAGCTTTTGAGATTCAAGAAGCTCCTTAATTGCTGCTTTCCGTAGTGTTGGAAGTGTTGGAAATGTGTCTGAGTTAAAAGCAAATTGTCAATATTGAAATGACAGCCTTCATCTTAATTAACTGAATTCTTTTGCTGTGCATCTCTCTCCGGTTCCTCGTGAACACACAGTGTAAATTGGGAGACTTCACTCTGTTTTATCGGAAAACCTTGGACTCAGGGGGCTTTACACCCATGCACGTGGAATGTTGAGACTGGGGCGTGGGGAGTTTGGTCCCAGTGGGTGAAAAGGGAAAGCGGCAACAAGGGATGAAGTCTTTTCACAGGGGACCAGCCCGTCCGTCTCTGTGCCTTAGAGATGCCATTGGGCCTGGTCACAGTAGCTACTCCCAGAATGCCTGGCGCGATGGGGGAAGAGGAACCAACGGTGCACCTACCTGTGTGTGGATCGGTGGGCCCAGGCCGTGCTCTTTCTATCATTCCCCAAAAGCCTGGGCGGTGGGGGGTGTATTGCCTGTATCCCCCCAAGAGGAGAGAGGCAGGCTCTGCGGGTCCCAAGGGCCCTTAGTCTGTGGTGACATCTTGCAGTCACCCGGCAGAGAGGTCACTGCTGAGGCACGTGTCCCCAGGGACACGGGGCATGTGACAGGAGAGAAAACACTCCTGTGTTTAGATCGGGTTCCTGGCAATTGCTCTGATTCCTAATGCTGCCAACATTTCTCTTGCTTAATAATCCAGTTTTAATTTTACCCGTGGCAGTTCTGGGCTCCCACAACACGGCGATAATTAAATCTGTGTTCCAATGGTTGTAGCGGCACCCAGGGGGCTCCGGCAATGGGTGAATTATCCTCGTTTAAGTGAGCGTCTAATGTCGGCATTGAGCTACCTCAGGAATAAACCCTAATTACTGAAATTCCTTGACGTTCCTCTTTCTCCCTTTCGTTTCCTCCTCCCGGGAACACACAGGATGGGATTCCAGGTGACGGGTTTTACGTGCCCAGGATGATGGTCACCTCTCCAGTCACACGATCCCGAGCGACTTATTTAAAACGGGGCCAGGAAATGCGGCTCTTTTAAAAAGGCCGCTCTGGTCTGCTAGTCCAGACATCAGTGTTTTAGGAAGGGAGCCCCCGGGGCAGGGCTAAGAAGGTGCCATGCCCTGGGTCACGTAGGGCGAGGCCCACTGTGTCTGGGAGCTGGGATTTTGTGCCTGTGTCCAGGGCTGGGGAGAGGCCTGCTGGTACCTAGAGAGAACAGGAGGTAATAACTCTTTTTGGAAAAAAAAACACTATTACCAAGTGTGTGATTCTGTGCCTTTAAAAACAACTCTCTCTGCCTCCCTTTTGACAAGGGGACCTGGAGAAAGGTCTCTCCCTCCTGGCCCCGGGGGTTCACAATGTGCAGTGGGTCCCTGGCCGCCAGGAGGGAGCTCTGTGGTTCAGGCCCCACGCAGTCCGGGAGCCACGCAGACACACACGAATCCTCCACCTCTCCTGGCCCTGCCCCTGCGGGCTGTGCCGCCTCGTGCCCTCTGACCCCGCTCGTGCTGTTCCCCCCTCACGCATCCCTGCTGGGTCATCCCGCGTGTCAGAAGCACCATTACAGCGCTGTCAGTACCTGCATCTGTGAGCTTGGGGAGCCAACCTGCAGCCAGACGTCCTGCACGGCGCTCTGCTCGGGGCTGCAACCTGGCTGGGTCTTACCTAACGTTACCTGGAGGTTACCGCTGGTCTTACAGTGTGCGCTGGGGCCATTTTCAAGGGAGAGAAGGAAAGATGTTTCCCCGGGGGACCAAATCTGGGGGCAGGTGGGCCAGGGAACTGGAGACAGACTGAGCGGACGGGAGGCAGGCTCAGCAGGCTGGGCCTGTTGAAGGTTCTCCGCCAGGGCCCATAGATGGCACCAGTGCCTTGGAGATCTGGCTGCCTCGGGACGCTCCAGGCTCAAGGGAGCTGGACAGTGAGACAGCGTGTGTGGCCGATCGAGGCCTCAAAACCACAGACAAGGCCAGTGCGGGCGAGGCTGGGCCATCCAGCAGAGGCTGCCACCGTCGGGGACCTTTTCTCTCTTTCTTGTTTTAATCCTCATCCGAGACATGCTCATTGATTTGAGAGAGAGGGGAAGGGCTGGGAGTGGGGTCCTGGAGAGAGAGACATTGATGTGAGAGAGGAACGTCAGTCAGTACATGCCCTGACCAAGCACCGAACCTGCAGCTAGGATAGAATCCACCACCTTTCGGGATCGACTGAGCAACCCAGCCGGGAGGTGACTTCTTTTGGTGGTGAAAGCGAAGGGTGAGATGAAAGACTCAAAGTGGGTGGGAGATAGCAAAGAAAGGAAGCGAGGAAGAGAGGAGGAGGGAGCAGGGCAGGGGAGGAGGAGTTTGAGAGGATACAGCGACAGAACAGCGTCGGGGAAGTCAAGGGATGCAAAGGAAGAGCAGAGCAGAGCGGGCCACTAGGAACGAGAACAGCGTCCGTGAAAGGGGGACACAGAGATGTTTTGGCGGAAGTGGCGGGTGCATGCGCAGGGCGGGTCTGAGCAGAGAAGGGGCAGATGGGCCATCGAGAAAGGCCTTCCTCCCCAGCGGCCCCCACAGGACCCACAGATGACATTAGTCTTCAGGATCTTTTATTAACGCATAGAAAATGTGTTTAAAAAAGGAACTATACAGAGGCTAAAAGCAACCCGGACTAGAAATACTAGTTAACAATGGTTAACAGGCGGAGATCCCGGTCTTTGAGCTACAGCGCGTGAAAGGTCGGGGGACATTGGTCTGTCCGCTCCTTTCCTGGACGTTTTCTTTTTGTTTCAGTTCCTTAGCGAGCGCACCGCCCAAGGAGGGTGGACTCCAGTTTCTCCTTGTTTTCCTTCTTCCTTCCAGTCTTGAAGTAAATGCTTTTCCAAGCACGCTGTAGCTACAAAGTCAGTCAATTGGTCTTGTTATTTTTACCCCAGAAGGCTATTAAGTGTTAAAATGGCAAACGCAAATTCGGAAGGACCGGAGGATTTGGTGTCGTGAGTTCTCAGGACCACGGTGAGGTGGGTTTCAGCGGGCCCAGCCCCGGGAACGCCTCCATCAAGGTCACAGTGGCCCCTTAGCGTGCCTGGCATGCCTCAGGGCCCCAGTGTATTTGAGGTTGGAAACACTGGGCTGGGGGAGGTGTGGATGTTAGGGAGGAGCCCGGAGACTGATGGGAGGAGGCTGGGAGTCCAGGCCTCTGAGGGGACGTGAGTGGGGGAGGGCGTTGGTCGGGGAGCACTCTCGCCTCTTGGTTGACGTGACTGCACTGGCCACGGTGTCTTCTGCTTCCAGCACAGGGGGTCACTGCTGCCCAAGCAGCCCTGTGTGGACGACGACCATGACGTGCAGAACAGATAGCTGCTGGGGAGAGCCATCTGTCCTGCGTATGGAAGTGTCACTCATTTCAGAGAAAGGGGTGCATTCCTGGGGTTTTGGCCTGGCAGCTGGTCACTAGGAACAGATTTCCTTCTCAAAGGGGCAGAGAGAGCCCACTGTCCTGCGAGCTCCTTGGCCCACTGGGGAGGTGGAAACAAGAAGGGAGAGGGAAGAAGAACTGGGGAATGAATGAATGTCACCTGCCTTCTTCTGGCCTCATTCTACAAACACGTCCACTGCTGCGCTCCTGCAGGGGCCACGAGGAGAGCTGTCCTTGTGCCCCCGAGAGTCTGGGGAAGGGAGCCCACATTAGTCTGGAACATGCCAGTTTCAGCTTAAAAACTCTTGGGATTTCTGCATTCGATACCACCCGCATCGGTCTGAATACATTAGTAATGTAACCTTTTCCCTCCCTGGTTCAGGAGTAAAGTCAACACCCGGGAGACACCTCCATGTTCGTTCTGTGGCTCCCCCTGCCGTCCTGGCGTTGCCTGCCCTGGTTTGGGGAGAATAGCTCTGGAATCTTCCACTTTGCTAATGTTGCACCGGTGAGAAAGGGGCTGCAGTTTCCCAAAGTGGTGGGGTGGGGGTGGGGGAACGACTGTGTTCTGGTCTTCACCTTCCCTCCCAGCCTTCTGACCCCCTCCCTCACTTCCCATGTTTTAAAAAGAAAAAAGGACCTGTCTGCTGTCAGGATGCTCTCACTCCTGACGGCGAGGTTAAAGATCCCTGGAGTATGTGGCGAAAACAGTTCAAACTCCCTTTTCTCAGAAGACGGAGAGGAAGTGACCTTAGAAAACCCTTGGCAAAAACATTAGCAAATTCAAGACGGTAGCCACTTGGCCACATATTACAAGGGGCCGCTGCTCCTGCAATAGCAGAACATGGGTTCTAGAACCAGACAGAGCGTGTCTGATGGCGGCGGCTCCACTTGGTAGCGGTGTGATTCGGGGCGTGCTCCTGACCCTGTCTGTGCCTCCCTCCTCTCATCTGTCACATGGTTAAACTCGAGTTGGGGCTCTGGTGAGGATTCAGCAAAGTACTGTGTGTCTGGCTCCTAACGCAGGATCTGGAAGACAGTGGGAGTGCAATACTGCCCCATCTCTTAGCCTTCCTTTGGGGAGAGGAACATTTGAAAGCCCACGTCAGACCTGAATCAGCTGTGTCCTGCACTTGAGCAAGTTGCCTAACCTTTCTTGGCCTGGACTGTGAAACGTGGGAGTTGAGTCTCTCCCTTCCAGTGCTGGAGGTGTGTTCCCAACATTTGCCTTTTGGAGGCAGTGTTGAGCACATTAGTGTCCAATGATAGGATGTTAAAAAGCACCGCAGGGTCTCTCTGGGGCTGCTGAACTGTTGGGAAGAAAACAATAGCTCTCATCCATGTCTTTGTCTCCTGACCACGTCTTGGACCCCAACCCTCCCTGTGACTTCTGGGTTCCACTCCTCCTGGAACGTCACGTGGACTCCAAAGAACCCATGGGACCAATGAACCAATACCAGCACCTGGGAGAGCCGGTCAGGGAGACGAAAAGGGTTAAGTGTTTCTGAACTGGAAATTTAGTGTCACCGGCCTCACGGCTGGCAGTGACGAGCTGTTTTATTAAGTTAGCAGAGGGGGCAGCGTTTTTCTGAGGGACAAGGGTTGTGTTATTTGGATGTTCTGCAGCAGCCTGATTAAGCCTGAGGAAGGAGGGAGGATTTCCGGTTTGGAGAACAGGCCACACTGTCCAAAGACAGAGAAGCTGGCCAAGGACATTGGGACAATGAAGTGCTGCAGGTGCAATGAAGTCATGCTTCAGGCAAGGGGTGACCTTGAGAAATTAGCCAGAAATGCTTGGGAAGAGAAAGTGGGGCCCAGGCAGGACGGGCTGAGCAAGCCAGGAAAGTCCCTCTGCTTCTCCGTCCCTGGGCAGTGACGGGCCCTGGGGACCTCGGCTTCTTCTCGGGTGCAGTGGGCAATCTGCCAGGGGGCTGGTGAGCGGCTGGGGGCCAGAGAGCAGGGAGCTAATGCCGGCCCCTCATCCAGGGCCCTGCATCCCCGGCCTCTGCATTTTTACTGTGGGCCTGTCTGGAAAGGCCTTGCTTTTAGCCTGGAATGATCCACTGGTTTATTTTTTTATTGTCATGTGGCATTTTATATTTTAGTCTCCCTCCCAGCTGTTTCTCCAGCTTGAGGAACACATTTGGGTCTGAACGAATCCAGTGTGGGACAATTGGGGTGAATGAGAGAGAGAGGCATGTGTTAAATGGGACCTGAACCTCCACAACAGGCCCTCTTCAAGTTCACAGGGGATTTTCCCTACTTGCTCTTAGAGGGTTGTGTTTATTATACTGTGAGTTCTCGTTTGGCTTGGTGGTGCCCTTGTGGCTGCCGAGGAAAACCCCATCACACTCGTGTGGGGTCGGATTATGGAAGAAACAAAGATGTGAGGAAGCAGTTAAAGATCTTCAGGAATGTGGCCCAGCCAGGGGAGGCTGCAGGCTCAGCTGGGAAGCCAGGCCTGTGGCTCACCTTCGGAAGGGCAGGCAACCTGTCACCGTCACCTGGAGGAAAGCGGGCCTTCCAGGGAGGCCGGGCAGAGCTATCGCAATCCGGAGCTCCAGCCAAGAGGCAGACTCCCCGGTTCAAGAATGATTCACCCTGGACCTCTGAGGTCCAGGGCCCCTCTCTGTTCCTGGCAAGTGAAAACAAACTGTCCCACCCGCTCTGGGATTACGGCGTGGAACTCACGTTGGAATCTCCCAGAAATTCGTTTTTGGCGTTTTAAGGGCAGATAGTGAAGTGGCAGAGGAGGGCCCCCTTTGGAGGGAAAGAATTGTAAGGAATTAGGCCGAGTGGGAGGAGTCTGCTGATAAGAAAGAGGCCAGAGAAAAGCCCACATTGGAGTCAGTGGCTCCACCTTTCCTGAAATGCTGGGTGGAGGTTTACCAAAAAAGAAAGAAAGAGAGAAACTATTTTGAAGCCCCAAGAGCCCTTGCACACCCAGGCCCCAGGGAGCCGACTTCAGCTCCTCGGCTTGGTGCATCCTGTTGTCACAGACAAAGAGGAACTTGGGAACCCTTTCTCAACTGACACTTTTCAAAGGGCTTTCTGAACAGGTTCCATGACAACCTTTTGTGCCTCAGTCTACAGCTCCGACCTGGCACTGGGTCTGAAAAGTCGACCTGTGGGCAGGCTGCTTCGGCTTGGCCCCCGCGCCCTGGCGCCCTGGGCTGTCCGGGTCTGTCTTTGAGGGGCCTGCTCGGCGCAGGGAGCTGGTGGATTCCCCGGTGGACATGGACGGAGCGGATGCGCAGTCTCTTACTTCTTTGTGAGGATGGGTCTGTGAAGGGTGGCGTGGGTTTGCGAAGTTGGCTCTGCATTTCCTTGCTGCCATTTTTGTTGTTGTATTATTTTTTTACAACTCAGTCTCTTGTGCAAATCCGTGGGCTTATTTTCGTGGATCTTAGCTTGGTCTGGATTCTTCTGGAAGCCTGGAGGCTCTTGTCCTCACCCCCATGGGGGTTCACACGGGGTTACAGAAGGGGCCTGGGGCTGTGCCCGCCACCTGGTGGTGACACTCAGAAGTCTCCCTCCTCCAGATGTGGCCCCAAGGGCCAGCAGTTTTCCACAGACCTGCCTTCCCCATTCTCCCCACCCCCTCTGCTTTTTAGCTCCTGCGGCTCCTTCACCTTCCAGAAGGGACCTAGGGGATTGTGAGTGTACCCTGGGGAAACCACCCTTTTCTGATGGGGGAACACAAACGGGACAGACTGCCTGCTCCCGGGTGTGGGCAGTGAGCCTGCTGCTGTCACTGGTGGGGTTTTGTTTGCTTCTGTAAGTCCACATCCGGATGTGACTCCTGGGCAGGGCTGCTCTGTCCCTGTTGTGTCCCTGGAGGGAAGCTTCGGGGCTCAGGGTGAGTGCCTAGTGGGCGGCGAGTCCCGGGTCCACCCCTGGGAAGAGCTGGGAGGAGCCGGGTTAGCAGGAACCAGTGAGTGAAGGCAGAAAGCTCTGGCTCAAGTTGACCCTAGGCCTTGGGCAGAGAATGGGCACGGTCTGTTAAATATAGTAAGGACTCGTGAGTAAATTAGTCTACTTAATGAAAGGAACGCAGAAGCCCTTCTATAGAAGGTTGGGCGAGCTAAGCTTTGAAGTCCCTTTCTTGCTTTCAAGTTCTTTAGCCTGAATCTGGGCAGTTCTGCGAAGACTATTTATAGAAGTGCTCTGCAGGGTAAACTGGCTCCAGCAAAAGGCGGATTTAGGTTTCCATGGATGCCGTGGGCTTTCACCAGAACGGCGACGACGTGAGGGTTCAGAGTCCTGTCCTGTTTCAGTCCCCTTGCTGAGGTGGGCTGTGGGGGACCACCCAGGTCCTGGGGCTCTGCTTTTGTGGACAAAATGCGTGCAGTCTCCTGCTCCTCATAATCCTCTCTGCAGTGTGAGTGTGCGTTTTATTTACGACCCCTGAATCAGCCTTCCTCGCTCCCTCCCTCCCTTTCTCCCATCCTTCCTTCCTAACTACAGCAGGGTTTCGGGAGAGTCTTTGTTACCTGATTGTGCTGTCTTACCAAGGCCAGTTCCCACTCAGATTTCAGATCACAGGGGAGCACTGCTGGCTGTCAAAGCCGAAAGGGAAGTTAGAAGCCATAATCTGTCCTGGGACAGGTGAGGGACCCGAGGCCCAGAGAGGTACAGCGACCTCCCTGATGTCACACAGCCAGCGGAGTGTCTAGAGCTGAGCCTCTAAGTTTCCTCTGCAGCCTGCCTCCCGCTGGTCACTGGTGGCCCACTCTGGCTAAGTCTTATTTAATTTACAGGTTTCTAGAAAGGATTTGTTTTCCCCAGGTTTCTCCTAGTTTTTTCGAGGCCTATGGTGAACTGAGAAATGAAAACGTCACCGCTGTTGTTCAGCACTGCGTATGTCAGTCCCAACCACCCCTGCAGCGTGACTTCCCATGACATCACAGGTGTGAGTGTCTGCCCAGGGGATGGTTCTTTCCTGGCTGTCAGAGCTTGCTTAGACAGCGGGGGGCTCCATGGGAAAACCATCTAGACTCGGGCTCATTGTGACCGGCCAGGGAGGGCGCCCGGATGCCCCGGCTGGATCGTGCTGGTACAGGAAGTGGGGCTGGGGCCCCGAGGACGACGGGGTGGGGGCAGCTGGCAGACGGAAGGTGGATGCGGTGGATGCGGTAGGGACGGCTGCAGCAACGCTGGGTTTGGAGCAGTTGCAGGGGCCTGTTGGGGCTTAAACATCAAATCACACCGGTGAAGACAGCACGTCCTGTCAGATGGAACGTGGGCCCGCAGCCCTCCCCGTCCACCTGTGGATTTCTGGATGCATTTCCCTCTGGCGCTTTTCATTGTTCCTCTCCGAGGCAGAGTAATAAAAGGAGACGGAGAAAGCTCCTCATGACCTCACCGCATTAAGGAGGTCGCTCCTGTTTCCCGTGGGACCAAAAAAGAGGAAAAAAAAAACCAAGCACGAAACCCCCAAATGGTTCCTCTTCCCAGGGCTTATCAGTCAGGACAATGGCTGGCTGGCCATAGAAACCTCTTTGTCTGACTCTTATTAAGCTACTCACACAAAGGGGAGCCTGAATGAAGATAGAAGTTAATTTGCAACTCAAAAAACCCCCCAAAAATTCATGGCACGTAGGACTGGAAAGAAATCAGAGCCAGGGGAGACCTGGGCTCCCCACGGGACCTCGCATCTCACTGGCAGATGCCCTGAATTCTCCTCCTTTGGTCCTTTGCTCAAGGCCTGGCCACCAGGTGCTGAAAAGCACAACCACCCTGCGCCCCCCTTCCACTCCCAAAGAGGGTGGGTGGTGACTCAGGCCTCACTGGGACAGGCGTGCAGCTCCGGGAGACCTCGGGTTGGCGGGACAGGGGGAGGTCAAACTGCCGCCTCCTCGGGGGAGTCGCTCACGAAGCTCTTGCCGAGGCTCCCCCGTGGACTAGGGGAGCACCTGGTCATCGAAGGCAGTGACCAGAACAAACCCGTGGGCGTGAAGGGCGTCTCGGAAGGAAGGAGAGGGGAGAAGGCACATGCCTGTCCCCACAGCCACCCGACTCCAGGACTTGCCTTTGAATTGGTCTTTGAAGCAAACACCTCCCTTTCCTCCTGGGTGGGATGAGAGGGGAAGGTCAAGGTTGGCCGGGTAGGAGGGAGGGTGGACTGAGGTCCAGCTTGAGGGCAGCAGGAACCACGGGCAGCTAGTTCTCGGCTGGTTCCTGCTGCCCCCGGCTTCCCCCTACACCCATCGTATGTAGCAAAGCACAGTACCATGACCCCCTCACCCCTGGTGTCATATTATAAAAGACAAAGGACAGGAAAGGTCAGTTGGCTGGCGGCCGCCCACGGCTCAGAAGTGCAAGGACCGCCGTTTCCGCCCCGCCGAGGGACGGGGGTTGTAGGGGCGCGTCTTCATTTCCACAAAGGGGATGGAGAACTCGTGGCCTTTCCAGTGGTACCAGTTGATGCCCTGGGAAGGGGGGAGAGGTTCATGTCAGACCTCCTGGGACGGGGCTGGGTTCCCAGTGAGGTCAGGGCTCAGCCCATTTCCAGCTCTTCCTTTTTTTTTTTTTTTTTTTAAACGATTTTATTTATTTATCTTTAGAGGGGAAGAGAAGGAGAGAGGGAGAGAAATACCAATGTGTGGTTGCCTCTCATGCATCCCCTGCTGGGAACTGGCCTGCAACCCAGGCCTGTGCCCTGACTGGGAATCAAACTGTGATTCTTTGGTTCACAGGCTCACGCTCAGTCCACTGAGCTACACCAGCCAGGGCCCAGCTTTTCCTTTTAAATGGGCCTGTGGCCTGGATCTCTACTGGGAATGTATCTCGGCTCTAGGTTTTTGGGCTTCAGGATTCGCCTGCAGCAGGCACTGAAGTTGAATTTCACAATCCCACCAGCACAGAGGCATTTCGAAGAGAGTAACTGTGTGTGACCACCCATTACGGGAGAGTCAGGTGGTCTGCACCTACAGTGACCGACCCTCTGGCTTTGCCCGGGACAGTGGGGTGTCCCTGACTGCTGGACTTCCAGTGCTACCACTGGGAAAGTCCCAAGGGGCCCATCCTATGGACGTGTGGTCTCCAATGGGGACGGCCAGTCCAGTTTACACTGGTCCCTCCCTCCCAGGGACACTTCTGAAACTCAAGTGGAGCCTGGGAAGCTGTCCTCGGCTTCCCAAGGCTAGAAGATTGTCATGGAACCTTCTAGATGAGGAAATGAAATGGGGCTGCAGGGGCTTCTCTGGGGGAGTTCTGGCTCCTGAGTCCGGCCGCCCCTCTTCCTCTGCCTCTACTCTGTCCTGCCTGGACCCCAGGTCTGCGTTCCTGTCCTCTCCACGGTCCTCCTTTCTGGAGACTCTGAGTATTTCCTTTTCAAAGGCAGGGGGGTGGGGGAGACCACACGTGCAGTTAAAACAGAAAGCTAAGGCCCCGTGGGCTCCACAGCTCCGGGTCCTGCCGGATGGCAGCCGAGCACCACCCACCTGACTGTGCCTGGACTCCCCGTATTTCCCGTTGAGGTTGGACCGGTGGCAGTTCTTATACCACCACGCCCCCTTGTACGACAGGGCGCAGTTGGTCACTGCAATGTCATTGTCTCTGTCCTCGGTGGAGAAAGGGCGTCCCTGATGGTAGCTGAGCGAGTCCCCTAGAAAAAGAAACCTTCATTAGGCTGTTCAACTTGCCACTCTTCAGCCAGGATCTTCTGGACCCCTGACCCTCTCCCGGCCAACCTGGTGGCCACTGCAGGGTTCCCTCCACTTAGCCCCCACACGTCCACCCAGTGGTCGGCCTGGCTGTACTGAGCCTCCTCCACCTTCCCCGGGTGGGGGGCAGCCGCCTGCACGCTGCTCCCTCCAACTCATCTCCTCCTCCCCCAGCCTCCTGCTCAGAACCCTGCCCCTCAGCTCCACCTCACCCTGTCTGTCTGTCCCAGGCCGGCACCAGGACACAGACATTCCTGACTCCTTTTGTCTCCAGAAGGGACAGTGACAAGCCATGGTCACCGCCATGCAGCCTGGCTATTTTTGAAATGATTTGGTCTGTTGGTTTGTTTTGCACACTGTATTGTAATGGCCACTGTGTGTCCCAAGTGTGGTCAGTTGGACCTTTGGTGGGGCACCATGGGCGGGGCTCCTGGCCATTGGGAAAGGTCTGAAATAGGGAGAGTAACAAAGGAAAGCGTGTCTTCTCTTTGGCGTAGTGCACCTGGCTGAAAAGAGAAATAACTGGGCAGAAGCAGAAATGGAAGGGCAACATCTTGATGGTCCTCTTAGTGCCAAGAGGCAATAACATGTTGCTGAAATTATACACCAGCATTTAGCCCTAAAACTGGAGTTAATGAGAGGACCAATAACTCCACGTACCAAACAACAGAACATTTGGCAGAACAGGTTTTATGACATGTGCTATAATAGAACCAGGAAACAGACTGGCTGAGCCCAAGAAGCGGACTCAGTGTTGTGTTCTGATAAAACTATTAATGCAACGGAGCTTCCAGAGACAGTTGTTCTACTTAGCAGAACTTCCCTAAAAATCTATACAGAAAACAGGCAGATGCACGCAGTGCTTGTGGAAGGAGGAAAAGCAACGTGGCCAGTGGGGAACATTTACGTCCGCTGTTTGCTCCTTGATGGGGTGTGATGATGACGTCTGATGGGGGGCACATCTTGGAATCTGGGGGGGGCCCAGTTTGCTTTCATTGGTTCAGAGATTGTTTTCCTCAATGTCACTGCAGGGGAGCTGTCTACCTAGACTGTAGTCGGTTCTGCGCTCTCTGGATAAGAGCCCGCCGTATTGATTCATCTAGACAAGAAAACTAATCGAGGGCCCTCCCGTCGACCTTTGTGTTTCAGACCTTAACCACACTCTCACTGCACTTAATTGCACTTTTTCTCAGTATTCTGTGAAGCAGGGCCGGGATCATTATTACAATTTTCCAGACGAGGAAACTCAAGTCCTGGGAAATTGATTTCAGGTCCCCTGAGTGGTGTGGGACGGCCTGGACCAGAGCCAGAGATCGGCGGCCCTGTGCCCCGCTCACTGGCCAGCAGGGAATTCCCAAGCGTGGGGGCCCTGACCTTGCCACACGGCCGTGGCCCTGGTGCCTGCTCCGGGGCCGAGGTACCTGCGGTGCCGTTGTAGGTGCCGACGCGGAGTTTGTACAGGCTCCTGCTGTCCTCCACGGAGAACTTGTCGTAGTAGGCGAAGGCGGCCTCCTGGCCGTCCCGCAGGTCCACGCGCAGTTCGTAGCGGCCCTGGGACGTGATCCTGTGGATGTTGTCCAGCCCTGCAGAGATGAGGGGGGAATGCGGGAGCCTGGCCCCGGCAGCTTTGGAAATGGGGGTGAGAAAGGGGACTGTGGCTCGAAATAAGTGTGATGAGGAAGAGGGGGCGTTTTCGGAAACCCGTGGGCCGCACCCTTCCCAGGCTGTTGTCCTCCCAGACTCTGAATTTCCTCCTGCAAGAGGCCAGAGCAGGCGTGCTGAGGAGTTCCCGCTGCAGGGCAGCTCAGGGGGCCTGATGTCTTCTGGGGACCAGGTGACAGGCGGGTCCTGAGCCTCAGCACTCCCGGCTCTGTGCCCGCCACCTCTCACTCCAAACATGGTGCTGGGTGAAAGGGACCAGAGGCGTCCTGTGGGCATGAGCCCTTTGGTCCGAGTGACAGGAGGAAAGAGATGGAAACAGTGGTCAGGGGAGTTCAGGGCAGACCCATGGCCGGGATGCACAGAGGTCCTGCCGTCTCTGAGAAGCCCGTGAAGGAAGCAGTCTGTCCGCCTTTCTCACACCCCCCTCTCCCCCAGCCTCCCCGCAGCTCACACTGCCTCCTTCTTGGATTACTGCCCTTGACCCGACGGCAGTCCCTTCATCCTGGAAGCTACACTCTCTGTCCTCACACCGAGGGGCAGACCTCCACAGTGCTTGAAGGTGCGGGTGGGAGGGGGCAACAGAAGCCTGACCCCTTACCCCCAACCCTGGGAGCAGTCTATGCTCAGAGTGTCCCTACGGATCAGACTGAAGCTAACCTCCAACCAAGGCCTCATTTTTGCACTTGACCCCACTTTGTCTGACTTCTCCCTCCCCCTTCTCCTGAGAGCACCTCCCAATATATCCCTTGAACAGGAATCTCTGTCCCAAGCTCTGCTGCCAGGGGACACAACTTAGCAGAGAAACTGGGGGTCACAGTGTTACCCCGACCTGAGCACTACTGCCTAACAGCACACCACCAGGCCAGGCCTGTACGGACCCTCCCCGGCTCCCTGTCACCGACGGCATCCAGTCCAGACGTCTCTTCCTGACTTTGCCTATTGCCCGCGCCCTGGTCCAGCCCATCTAACCTCATCCTCTTCCCCTGGCTGTGGCTTTCCTTTGGCTGGCTGGTTCCTTCCCTGCCCTGTTTGCACATACGGAAGGAGCCCTGTCTTCCCTGTTTTCTGGTTCCTGTCCTCTCAGCACCCTACTCCTCCCTCAGTGCCTCTCCACGAAGCCAGACCCGTCCTTCTCTGAGTCTCTGTGGCTTCCTTGTCAGTGGCTCGTAGGTTGGTACGGTGTTTCCCAGTGTGGGGTGACATCTCTGATGATATGACAAGTATTTGGGGCCTAAGGACTCAATAACCTTGAACGTATAGGGAGAGAGAGATTACCAAATTCTCTGTCTTTCTTAATAGAGTAAGGAGAAGCCTTAGCCCTGATTCTAACCCTGACTCTCAGTCTCAGTTTGGTTCTAAGTGCTTCTGTGGGGCAGCACCGACACTTCCTAATGCCCACCGTTACCAGCAACGCCAACAGGCCGGCAGCCCCGCATTTAACCGCCACTTAATAATATTAACAGGGTTTTTGTTGCGTTGACTTTTGAGGCTCCTTTTATCACTGTGAATAATGAGCTTTCAGTCTTCGGCGATGCTTTGACATTTCCTTCCCCAAACAACAGATTTAATGAACTAAAACGAGTGGCACACGGAAGACGCTAAGTGCACAGGTTTGGGGCACGTGAGCCCTGTTGGCAACGGGTGCACTGATTCATGGGTACTGTCTGCCGCCTCTCAGAGGGTGAGGGTGTTTTCCTATTCATTGACTTTTCTCTCAATGCTTTTATATGGCTTTTACCGTATGCTTCTATCAGCTACATCAGCAAACACACATCTGGGCACTGAAGAAACTGTCAATATACTCTTACCATTGACTGATCGATCAATTGATAGCTACAGTTGAGGCTCGGACTCTGCCCCAGGCACTGCAGTCGGCAATGTGGTTAAGAGAGGAACGTGATGTGGTCCCGGCCCTAAAGGAAGTTTCCATAGTATGCTCTGTAGTCGTGGGAGAAAGGGAAGGGGATGCTAATAAGGAGTGGCTAATTCTCCCACAGGCAAAGGGCAAGGTCAGTGGGTAGGGTGGGCCCTCCGGGTCTTTGAATATACACAGACAGACATCACGGCGCCTAGAGGAGGGGACAAGTGGCCGGGAGAGTGTTCCTTGCAGAGGAGACATCAGTGATTGTGAATGTTTGGAGGCTGGTGTTGGGCTGGGGGCACGTGGGAAGGAGAGAGGTCCTCGGTGGTGGGGAGGCTGGACGCCTGAGCGGAGGTGTCTGGCTTTCACCTGCTGGTGGTGAGGCCTTAGGAAGTTTTACAAACGGGCTTCACCACTGCTCAGATCGTTGGGGTGAGTAAGACCGTCCCGGGGCCACGTGAGAAGTGAGTAGTCCCGGAGGCACAGAGGCCAGTTAGGGGGAGAAAGAGAATGAGACCCCGAGAGGCAGCAACAAGGAGGTGGAGAGGGGGGTGCCGATTCGGGGTGCCGTCATTCTCCTCCCCCTGCTCCCCCGTCCAAATCACTGAGAATCTAAGCGAGAGGGAGACACAGGTCATAAAGCACGTGCTGCTTCCCGGGCGTGGCACCGCCACGGTCTGCCTGGGTCAGACGTGTGTGTTTTCGTCCTCACACCTGTTCAGTCCTCAATCGACACCTCCCGCTCGGCCAGACCTCTAGGAAATGGATGGCTACCTCTGATGCCATTCTCAGGTTTCTCCATCCCCTGCCGAGTCAGGGAAATCACATCCCCCAGGGAACTGGACCAGAGCGGCGGCCTCCTTCTCTCGGCCCCACAGGCTGGCTGGCTGTGCCTCACTCGTGAGAGGTGTCCAGCCGCCCCGGCGCTCCTCATGGCCCCTCGCCCACCAGGCCGGTCCCTGCCTTTGTAGTTGCCTCACGTCAAGACCCATCAGCCTAAGAGACTATTAGTGAGGATGGAAAGAGACGGAGCAAAGAGAAAAGCGCCACAGTAAGATAACACGGATCAATAGTGCAGCCAAACAGAGCCAGCGGTGCTGAAAGCAATTCGCAGGCTGTCAGCTTCTCAGCAGACACGGGGCTGCTGATAACCCCAGATGGACCTGGAACGGGGAGAGGCGGACCGAGAGCCCAGGCAGTGCGGCGAGGAAAAGCAGCACAGAGTCGTTACCCAGCCAAAACTCATCCTCCAGGTTCCCGAAGCCAACTCGGTACTCCGCCCACTTCCGGAAGAAGTCGGTTTGGCCGTTCTGCCGTCTCTGGAACACCTGCCAAGAGACGGGGAAGATAATGGGACACCGAGAAAAGGAACTGGTGCGCGTAAACTTGCTGTCTCTGAGCTCTGTATCTGCGGGGATGCTCAGATAAGGAACATGGCCGTGCAGAGCTGGGTATTTGCAGAGCTGTGTTCATAGGAGACGCCCAGCACCTCTCTCAAGGCACAGAGGCCCTGACGAACAGGCCTGGGTAGGATGTTGCCACTCATTTGTACCCCTACAATGTAGAATGGATTCAGGGACACATTGAGCCCCCAAATAGTCAGGGCAAATCGGCTTGGCTCACCAGGGACTGCGGCAGAAAGCATTTCTCACCCAAAGAGCAGGACCAACTTCAAAGCAGCCGGTCCCTGCCATCCTCCCAACGCAGGCAAAGCGATTGCATGTCATTCATTTTCCGAGCTGTTTAAGTGCTAATTTCATCTAACCTCCGCTACATCAGCCTCGGCTTCTATCTTCCAATTATGCTTTACCAAGGAGGCAGAAATGCGTCGGAAACAGAAAAGGAAATGTCTCCCAAGAGCAGCTGCCGCTATTTCCCTCCATTCAGAACCTCGTTTCCATCCGCACCCACCCAGCTAACGCTGGACTGCGTTCGGGCCAGGCTACAGGAGCCCTGTCTGCCTCTCGGGCTGCACTGCTGGGTGGGGACAATTGTGAGGCCACCCTTCTGTTTTCTCTGTTCTGAACAGTCAGATGTGGAAGAGGATACTCGCAGGAAGTGGTGTCTCTCTTTTCCTAATTGAGGAATTGGTCACTGGTGCTCCCTGAAGGCTGGGACACTCTGGGGAAGAACCAGAGAGGCCAGGAAAGGGCGGGGACAAGGGTGGCCTTTGGAACTAGAGGTGACTACCCATGTTCGGTCCCCCACAGGCCGTAGTCATACAGCCTCAGCTCCTGCTTCTTCGCTGGAGACGCAGTTTCCAGCAGGCAAGACCTGGGCCTGTCTGAGCCACTGGTCCCTGTCCCTGCATGAGCAACTGCCATCGCAGAAGGAGCCCCCTCTCTGGCCAGGCCACGGCAGCCTCCATTTGTTATTCCTCTCTGCCCAGCCAAAACCTATGATTGGGCTGCCGAGAAGGAGCCCCGAGGGAAATGAGGAACCCCCTCAGGAGGGACATGCGGGGGCAGGCGAGGGGACGGGCAGAGGATGGCGAAGCTGGGGTCCCCTGGCACTGAGCCAGGTGGACCGCGTGTGCGGGGAGCGGCGGGCACTCACGATCCAGCCGCCGCCGTCCGTGGTCATGTCGCAGAACACCTGCAGCTTCTGGCGGGGCTCCCCACGGAGGAAGATGGTGTAGACCCCGCTCAGCGTGTCCCCGTTCATCAGGTGCTGGGCGCAGTCCTGCGGGTGCGGGAACACCCGGCCCCCTGCAGAGGAGTAGAGACCGTTTCCTGAAAGGTCCTTCCTCCCACCAGGCGTAGCCCCTTGAACGGGAGAAGGGGCGGGAGTGTCCGACTTTTTGGCGTCTCTGGGCCACACTGGAAGAAGAGTTGTCTTGGGCCACACGTTAAATACACTGTGATGCGGAATAGCGAGAAAAATCTCATGTTTTAAGTAAATGTACGGTTTTGTGCTGGGCCGCATACGGCCCATGGGCTGCAGGTTGGATTCCCCTGAGGGCCTCGTGGTACCTCATGAGGAGCTGTGGGACATCCACCCTGGACCTCCCCCAGTGTGCGGGGACCCCCTCACCCTGCATTCCACTGCAATCCAGCCGATGTGCATTAATCAGACAATACACAGTCTGACAGGATCTGAGGACCAAGGAGCTGGGTTCAAGGTCTGCCTCCTCCACTTACCTGGTTAGCTTAGGCTAATGGTCTGACTTCCCCGGGCACCAGTTCTCATCAACAAATGGGGATAACAAAAATAACCCCGAAAGGGGAAGCTGTGTCAGTGCAGCTAGTGACTGTCACTCAGGAGATGATGACAGGGGCAGGCCCCCACAATGCATCACTGTGGGCCCCACCTTTCCAAAGGGTGGGAGGGTCCGAAGCACAGATCTCTGCCCTCCTCACAGCGGCCACGAAGGGATGCCCAGATAAGCTCAGCAGGAGCAGGAAGACGGGTATCTGTTTCCGTGCAAAATGATCTCCTGATTGGACTAAACAAGCAAATGCCCGTGCTTTACAGTTCAGTGGAAGTTTAAAGAGAGGGCAGGGGGAATAAATTGCTGCTCATCTTTCAGCGAGAACAGCCCAATTTGTACAACAATATCTAATTAGCTGAAAGCGAAGCTTAAATCATGTGTCTTGAAGAGTTTAGCTTCAGGGCACATTTTAATGCTTAGCAGGCAGGCAGAGGGGCAGAGATCCCTGCGGCGGGTTTTGCGGACGGCGGGTGCTGATAGCGAAAGGCGGGGCTTGCGAGTGAGCGACTGAGATTTCGGGGGCCCGGAACGCAGAGTGGTGGGGCTGATGTGCTCCTGCAGCCGTGGCCTGCAGCAGAGCAGAGGCAGGAAGAGGCGGAGTATGGACCTCATGGGCCAGTCACTGCTGTGTCCCCTGTGCACTGCAGGGTGTGACAACCAGCCCCTGGTGGGTCACAGCAAATGACAGTGTGATGCCACACAAGGAAGGAGATGGAACAATATCGCTGAAGGCCCAGGGCATCTGAACACCTGTCACGGACCATCAGTGAAGCATCCTGTGTTGGGAAGAGATGGTTGGGGTCCCACAGACTTCACACAAGGCCCCTTTGGAGATGAGTTAACGCCCCCAAGCACAGGACTGTCCTTCAGCTCTGCCACACCAGGGTCAAGGGTGGCTGCCAATTGAAGGCGGTTTGGAATGAAGGTACCTCCCCCTTTGGCCATGGCCACACCAGAGAATAACAGTGCATTTCTAGAGAACTTGTGCTTGACAAAGTGCATTTTTATCTTCATTTAATCCTTGCAAGAAACTTGAGAGGAAGACAGATTGTTATGAATCAAAAGCTTATTTTATGGAAAAAAAGACTGCACTCAGAAAGACCACATGATGTCCTCTGTCACATAAACTTGTGTTTCCAAGTTCAAGTCAAGTGCTCTGTGCATTCTGCTGAGAGACTAGAACACAATGCAGTTGACTGGATCCACCTCTGTCCCTGTGGCAAAGGGTGAATTAATGTCTATGTCTAAAGTGCAAGCACATAAAGCCCCAAAGGCCAAAGTGACCTAAAAAAAAAGTCCTACATTCAAATTGAATATCTTTACCCGCCGAACAGAAAACCGATTTTCTGAATAGCTGCCGAAATGCTCTCAGCTTTCATCGGCAGCTTGTCCTGGAGCTCATTAGCACTCGCCGTCCCACCTGTGCCTAGGGGTCACAATTATATTTTGGGACAGCTGCCAGAGAGCTCCTTCTTCTCTCCTTGTGGCTTGGGGACACCGTGATTATTTTCCTTTTTCCAGATCATTCTTTACCTCGTCTCTGGAGTAACTAGCCTTCCCTCACAGCCTGGATTTCTCATTTTCAAAATGCAGCACTGAATGGTCTTGGCCTTCAGCTTACTCCTACCTTATGTACCAACGGCTCCTGCTCCTGAATCAACTTAGGTTCTTAAAGAGCCAGAACCCCAGATTTCTTCCCAACACCCCACGCATGTGTTCCTGGCCATCTTCTCTCAAACCTTAAAACGGCAACCTCACACAAATACACGTATGAAACTAGACCAAGACAGAGTAGGTAAATCCATGATCTTATACAGGTTACTTCACATCAGTCATGTAGATTATTGAATGGTTATAAATACTCTTAAAAGGGTCAAATGCATCCATCGCTTTAAAGGTAGATGACCAGAAACAAATACAATGACCCGAGATGACTTGCCCCGGAGAAGACAAGTTCTTAAACGTGTGAAGGACTGTCATACAAAAGAAGGATTCCTTCTTTTATTTTTAAAGTCAGAAAATGAGAACACTATCAACTTATGAGTGAAGTGCGGTCCAGGGGGTGTTGTGGTTGGGTGGGAGGAAGGTCCTAGGCTGCACCACATGAGAGAAAGGGCCCCTCGTTGGGCCAGTTGGGAGAGGTGCCCAGCTGAAGTGTGAGGGGCTGGTGCCCGGTTGCTGGGTGCACGTGCCTCACCTGTGTCAGACTGCAAGCCCACCTGGTTGCTTGGAGATGCCCCTCACTGTAATTTAGTCAGTGGCCCTGCTGGAAAGCCAGCCAATGAGCATTTTGTTTGTGCAGAATATCAGGAGCAGCGGCCTGGGTTTTTCTACCTCCTGGGAGCTGGGAGAAGACACGTTTGTCAGGAAATCCCTCCAATCCAACCCCTCTGGCCTGCAAGGCTGCCAAAGGTGTCCCCCCCCCCCCCTTAATCAAATTCTGATTCCTTTTCACCCGATAAGAGGAATCAGAGGCTTGTTCATTGTGCCCAAACTGGGGCCTTTATTCGAATTCAGAGTCCTGGTTCTGTGGCGGAGCTGCCAAATGGGAACGTTGGGGGTGGGTCTCCGGTTCAGGGTCTCACCCAGGCTCCTCAGTCGAGCCTGGAGCCCACCATGACTTGAACGCCACTCTTCCTCTGGTACAGTCCCCTCTTCTCAGAGAGGCCAAGGAGTGGCACTGGTGAGCGAGACCGTGCCCCCGAGGGGCCCACTCGGCCCAGCCCCCGGCACTGTGTGGGTAAATAGACGGAGGCTCTCTCTCCTTTCCTCTCCTTTCCTTCTCCCCTCTCCCTTCCCTCTCTCTCCCACAGGCTTGTCTTGGGTAGGCAGGTCCCAAGATTTAGATTGGGGGCGGTCTGGGAGAAAGGAAACAAGAGCCTCTCTAGCTCTGAGCTGAGGACTGGGGTGCCTGTTTTTACCATGAGGTTCTTATGCCTTGGTGGCTGCTGGACTTTGGCTTAGCTGACAATAAAGACCGCCCCAAGTCCTGTTCTGCTGTGTTCACTGCACACATACTGTGGGTTCAGACTTTTTTAAGGGAACGTCAGGGTGGATTCAGGCACCCTTGGGTCTCTGGATGCCCTGCCGCCTAGCACCATCGGAAACCCACATTTAACCCTAACACAGGTCACCCCGTGGATTTTTCCCAAGGCAGTGGTTTCAGGGCCTAGAGCAACACTGGAAGCTTTTCTTCCCATCCGTGAGATAGCTGTGGCCTGGCCCACTAAGACCCTTTTTTTTTTTTCCCCCTTAAGCACTGGCTGTGTTGATTACCAAGTTAAGAGGAAAGCAATGCCAAGTGATTGGGACACTGACTGTCTCCTGGTTAAAGTGTTTCTAGATGTAATTGTGAGATCAATAGGACCGGGGCACTTTCCGGAGGAGTTGTTCAGAAATTGCTCAGCATCTGAGGCTGAAAGCCGAGTGGAGTGAGGGGAGCCTCGTGACTCTGGAATCAGAGGGCTGTCAGCCTCTGGGAACGAGGGAAGAGACCTTTCCTGCCCCCTCACTGTCCCCCTTTCCTGTCTTCTGTCCCCTGCCTCTTGCCGTGTTCCTGGGCACAGTCTTTAAAATGGCCCGAGCTAGTGGCTTTGAAGAGTCTGTGCTCGGCCTACCCTTCCGGCCTCAGTGTCAGGACCGGAACTGGGATGGAGGCATCTCTCCCTGGGAGCAGACTCAGGACAGTCAGGTGTGCCGCTGCGCAGACCCGCCAGTGACCGCGTCTGACCTCCAGAATTCGGATGTTTCCCTAGAAGAGGGTTTGTGGTCGGCAGGTTTGTGGGGAGGGCAAAGTTACCTGTTCGGCCCACGTGGGCTGTCAAACCTACCACCGTAGCGACCTTGACAGCATCTTCTTTTTTTTTTTTTTTAGCATCTTCTAATTCATTTACCTATTTATTCTTTTATGTATTCATTCAACGAACTCATAGGAAGCGTCTGTGGGTTCTATATACTGGGCTAAGAAAGAGGTGGGAATGAATATACTCTTTTAGGTTGTTTACAGTCTGGTGGGAGGCACAGACCAACATAATCCTAAATTCTCTGTGTTCTGGAAGACAGAGAAACACAAGGAGCTGTCAAAATATGGGAGCGAGCGAGCCCAGAGCCTGGGGCTGCTGCGGGATAAGCTGAGCGGGGGCGGGAAGGCCTGGATGGGAAAGGGATTGGCAGGTGCTGATTGGAAAGGGCTTCTTCTTTTGGGAACTGACACCGAAGTGAGCCACACATCGGTGGGGAAGGGTATTTCAGGCCAATGGAAAAGCCCAGCCTATTTGGGGAAACAGCAGGTTGGCCAGGAGACGGGGAGAGACAGGTTGTGTGGGTGAGGGAGAGCCTTGGGGGGCAGATGGAGATGGGACCGCGCCACTTGAAGAGCTGAACTCTATCCTGAAGGCAACGGGCTGCAGAGTCCAAGGGTGGACTTCGAGCTGCGGTTTTTAGAAAGACTGTCCTCACTGTGGTGTGGGGAATGAATCAGGCGGGGGTGGTACTGGGGGTTATGACTCATTTAGGAGATGGAAATCGTGGGAATCCAAGAGGAGAGGTGGCAACAGACTTTGAGGAGGTGACAGAGAATCAACTGCGTAATAGACGGCTTGGACGTCATCGTTGTCAGCGGAGTGGCCGAGGAAGGTTCACGGGCTTTGCAGACCTCCTGCCTTTGGCCCACTGAGCCCCCGGGGCTGCCCTTTGAAGGTCAGCTGCAGGCACCCTCACAGCACAGACACAGTCTGACGGAAGCTGTCACACTGGCCTTGGCTTCCCTTAGGGCAGGAGACCCTGTTCCACGGCCCGCTAGTTGATCCCCCAGACTGGCAGCTGCCAGCCTGGCCTTTCTGTGTGGCCAGGAGAGGGCTAGGCCATGGTAATGCCACCTACCTGGCCTCTCTCTGCCACGCTGGCTCTCCTTGCTCCCATTCTCCATGTTTTAACCAGAATGACCTTTTTAGAACATAAACATGACCTGCATCTCTCGCCCACAAGCTTCCAGTGGCTTCGCCAAAGCCATGGCTCAAGCTGAAATGGCTTCTTTTCATTAAAATAAAACCCCAAATCCTCACCACGTCCTACCTTCCATGCCCTGCATGCTCTGGCTCAGCTTGGTACTCCCTTCCCTGTCTTACGGAAACTTCTGAACATGCCGAACATACTCCTCCCTCTGCATCAGTCACTACGCTTCCCTGGGCCCGAATGCCCTTCTGTGTCTGCTTCTCTCTCATGCTGTACATCCTGGCTCGAGTGTCTCAGCTCAGAGACGCCTTTCCTCTGCACCCTCGTTGAGGCCAGGGCCTGGGGTTGGGGGAAGGAGGTGGCAAGTGCCAGCCAGGAAAACTTTCCTCCGGGAGGAGCCATCCCGTTCCATCACTCTGGCCCCACCACTTCGTTACTGTTAATGTGGTTGAGTTACCACCTGAAATTACCGCGTCCCTCCTTCTGTCTGTTCCTCACTGCCTCGAGCTCTCCAGTGTGAGCTTCCTGAGGGCAGTCGCCGGCTGACCTTGTTCTTCACCCCAGCCCAGCACTTAGCTCAGTGATCCAACCCACAGCAGAGGCTCAGGAAGTGTCTGTTGCGTGTGTGAGACCACGTGAATTCTATGATCCCTTCTGGGACAACGAAAAGGGAGATCAAAGCTAGATTTTTCTGAAAACAATGGGACAGCACAACTGAACACGGGCCAGGTCCCATGCTGCCGTAGTGACATAAGGCGGATGGCATTGCTGGTTGACAAAATCCAGTGCAGTCCTGGCAGGGGGACCACACATCTCTGTCCCACGGAAGAGTGCAGATGACTCTAAGTAAATTCCACGACATGGACCAAGTCCTCGAAAATCACCCCCGACTAAAAGTCACCCACGATGAAACGGATAACCTGACTGGTACCATAACTATTAACTGATAGCTACCCGGGTTTGCACGGCCCATTGTCTGTTGTCCCGGAACCCAGGGTTGGCCAAGTCTCATCAGTTTTCACAACCCCCAAAACCGAAGCTTGTGGTAGAGCAGACTCCTGGCATTACCACCCCCCCAACCCTGAGAAAGCCCCGGGGGGGGGGGGGACAGGGGAGCGGCGCAGCCTGGCTGTGGGAGTGCAGGGACCAGAGCAAAGGCAATAAAGAAAATTACGCGTCGCTGGGAACCCCTGCGAATGATTGTCTTCGCTTAACCTCAAGGTCAAGACGACCTGTTTTATAGTGTTCCCGTCTCTGAGGACAAGAGGCAGCAAGCGCCTTGTTTGCTTCTTGGAGTATTAAAAGAGACAATGAAGTCTGCCTCTCCGAGGACCACCTCGCCAAGTCCCTGCCGCTCTGCGGGGAGCGTCTGTTTCCTCATTTATATTCATGTCTCCAAAAGACAAGTAGACCTTGGATGAAATTTCAGGCGACAGTAAACTATAAATAATGTATCCATATTTTTTCTCTTCCATACTACCTCTATTAAATTCTCCTCAGAGTCTTGTGCAAACAGCAGAGACCAGAGGACAGGAAGCTATTAGCAGAGATTGTAGGAATGAAATGGGCTTATGTTATAAGGCGGAAATGCAACCAGGGAAGGCATCTTGATCAAAGGAGGCTTTGGGGAAGACCGACTTTCCTTTCCTCTTTTCTCCCTTCTTTTTAACACCTCAACGCTCTTCCAGCCCATTCAGTAGGTATCTGTTTGACATGAGTCTCCTCTTGGCCCACCCAGGACAAGATGAGGGTTTGCCGATGGATGAAGGCCATTTAGGGACCTACATGTCAGCTCCTTTTCCCATAGAACAAGGCATTAGAAGTACTTAGAGGGGCCAGTTGAGATGGGCCCATCCCCCGAATAGGATGCTGCTGAGTGGGGAGCCCAGGTTCAGTGAAGTCAGAATGGCGCTGGTTACGGGGCTGAAATTGGCCTCCGAACCCATCGCCCCCCCTTTGCCATCACAGAGGGTACCCTGAGGTGTCAGGCAGACGTGCGTCTAGAGATAAGGGACAGGCTCACAGTTGCCGCACACAGGGGCACAGCCACAGCCCAGAACGGGAGGACAGGGGGAGAATTCAGGTCTGGACTGGGCAGCCCCACGTTACCCACAGTAGACAGGGCCCCGCGGGGAGTGGCGGAATGGAATGCTAGCAGCACCGACCCCAGAGCCGGAGCAGCTGGTCGACCCCCAGCTCTCCTAAGAGCTGTGCGCCTCCGGGGGACCCGCCTCACCTCTCTGTGGCCCAGTTTCCTCATCTGTCTGTAGGGATGACAGAACAGCCTCAGGGGCTGTTGTGAGGATAACATCGGATCACACGCTTGATGCGAATGGAACAGTGCCTGTCACATAGTCCTCAAAGGTTGGACACTAGTTCATTTCCTGCCACACACACTGGGACTCTTTTAGCCCTTAAGGACACTTGGGGGAGGGAGGCAGGAGAGCCAGCTGGATTTAGAAGGAGACGACCTTCGTTCAAGCTCGGAATCGGCTACTCACTAGCCATGACAGCCCCTTGATTTCCATGCTCCTGTTCCCTCACAGGTGGGAATGGGGCGAAAGGGCCCTGCTCCCCTGTCGTTGTTGGACCGTGTTGAGACCCGAAGAGTGGAAAGTGCTCTGTGAGTGGAGGACAGACACAGGGCTAACGGGGAGGGTTCTCAGCTGCTCTTCAGGAGGTGAATCTCTCATCACAGGTGGCAGAAGGGAGGGAGAAGGGCAAAATCTGCTGGAAAAACTCCTGCTGGAAATCTGAACAGGAGCCCAAGGTCCCCACTTGGTGCATTTAGCTGGGCCTGGGGCTGGTGTGTGGGTAGTAAGCAGGGGTCAGGAGGGGCCGAGGCAGGAGTGCAGGAAATGACTCCTTCCCTTCGCAGAAAAGAGGCAATTGAGTTTCTTTGATGGCCGCCTCCCTGGTCACATCTCAGCAGAGGCCACCGAGGAGACGGATGTCGCGCAGAGCGGGAGGTGGCGGCGAGTCTCTCACCTGTGGTGAAGGTGGTGGAGGTGACGCTGCTCTGCTGGGCGTCCTGGGCCGCCTGCAGGAGGACGGTGTAGTTGGTGCTCTCAGAGAGGCCCTCTAGTCGGATCCACGTGTCCTCCGCGTCCACAATCAGCTCCTGCAGAGGGAGGAGGTGATGGGGATGGAGATGGGGGGGCAGGACCAGCCTGCAATGAGGGGCATGGTGAGGGGGAGTCCCATCCCATGGCCAGAGAGGTCAGTAGTGCAGTGGCCACTGCCATCCTCTCCATCCACAATGAAGAGAAAACTGAGCCAATAAGCAGAGAGGATGGCTCCTATTGGCCAGGGGCACACTGGGGGGAGGTGGGCACCTGGACTATCGGACCCGGTGCTTCTCAGGTCACACTGGGCCTCCTTAGGGCCCTCAGTCTCCCTGCTGCACAGCAGCAGACTGGCCGGGCCCCGAAACTACGCTGCACCCTCAGCTTCTTGGTGTGATTCCCCTTAGAAACTGTGTTCCACTGCTAACCCACGTTTGACACCCACGCTCTAGACGGGCTGTTTCAGCTGATGCTATAAAACAGAGATTCATCATCTCTTTGCAGCAGGCTATGGACATGTAGCCTTTCTAATGCTTATCAAGGGGCATAAACTTGGCATTCGGCTCACGCTTGCTTGGCCCTGCCAGCAAAAAACCCGTCCAGTACCATGTACCAACAGAAGCCTGGGAGTTTCCAGTGTTCTCTGCACCATCATGGTGGGAGCACCCACCACTGAGTAAGGATGCAGGGGTAGCAGACACCCCCACTGTCTAGAGAAGAAGCGAAGGCTTGGAGAGGGCTGGCGGTTTGCCTTTGCACAGAGCCGGGGCTGGCACCCCAGGCTCTGAGTTGCAGACTGGGGCTTATTCCTGAGCAGCGCGCTGTGTATTCATCGTAGAAGACCTAGCCAGCTCCCTGTGGATTGCTTGGTAGAAATGTCTTCCCCCTCCCCAGAAAACTCACCTTGCGGCTTCCGTCGGTGGATTTGTAGGTCAAGACGTAGTTCTCAATCTCCCCTCTGGGAGGCTGCCAGGAGATCAGGGCGCTTTGTAAGGTGACTTCGCTGGCTGTCAGGTTTGCAGGAGGGTCCAGGACTGCAAAGAGGAGGAAATGCCGGAGCGTCTGCCCCTCCAGCTCCTCCCTGTTTGATTCCTTGCACTCCCTCCTTGCACTCCCTCCTTGCACGGAGGGCATTCCCAGTCACAAGATAATCCCAGTCATAAGCATCCAGACAGCGATTCCCCACTCGCCTCACCTGGGCCGCTGGGCCTAAGGTGACATCTTCCAATCTGACCCTCTGTCAGGATTCTTGACCTTGCTACACCTGTGTGTCTGTGAGTTCACTCTTGAACTTTCAACAGTCTCACAGCTATACCTTTGTCTACTGCTCTCCTGGCCGTGGCCGTATCCAGCAGCTCTCTTCCCCATTTCAAGCCCTTTAATGTCCATCAGAGACTCTGGGCCAGAGGCATTTCAGGGCTGGCCTCTCTCGGCCTTGCTCTGCTGCTGTCCCCAGACCCAGGACAAGAGCAGAAAACACGTGTGTCTGAGAGCTGGGGCTGTCGCTGACTTCCACTGGCATTTGGTCTGCGGTCAACTAAAGTAAGAACAGCTCCTGGCTGCCTTGTCCCAAACCCGGAGGCTGTAACCAAGTCCACCACATGGGGAACAAGCATTGTCAGGGTCTGCCAGGGCCTCTAGGGGTGCCGGGGCTGGGGCTGAGTACGTGCGTGCGTACTCACGTGTAGAGAAGTTGGTGCTGACGGTGCCGCTGGTGAGGTGCTTCTTAACGAGGTGCCCACTGGTGAGGGGCTTGCTGGTGGCGTGTATGCTGACGGTATAGTGTGTGCTGGGGAGCAGGTCCGTCAGCTGGAATTCCTCACTGTCCCCATCCACCATGATGGTCTCTCCAGCGACTGGAATCAGATGAGCACGAATGAGGACTGAATAAAGAGAGACTTCCCAGATCCCAAGGCATTTCACCAGGAGTCAATATGGGAGAGTTTGGGGGGCGGGGATCATTTAGAAGTTATTCAGTTCAGCCTTTCATTCCCTACAAGGATCCCCTCTTGCTTATGCATATTGAAGATGCAGATGTTGTTTTGCAACTTCATTAAGAAAAATATTCCCTATTTGGAAGCCGATTTGTCTTTTTTTGTAACTTCTACTCAGGCATCTGGAGTTATAAAGAATAAGCCAAATCCTTCGTCCACATGAGCCCTCCTCCCCTCCTCCCCTCAATCGAGTTCTCTTTTCTCTGGACTGAGAAAATTAAGTCTCCAGCCCTCAGAATGTCTATGAGATGGTTCTAAAAGGGTCACAGTCCTGGCCTCCTTTCCCCGGACCAGCAGCAGTTCATCAGTGTCCCTGCTGAAACCCACAACTCAGAAGAGAATGGAGAGCAATAGTTGAGAGGTACTGACCAGTGAAACAAACAGCATCAACATTTGCTTTTATTTGTGCCAGTTATGTTAATCCACTCCGAAGTCATGTGATGTCACAAGCAAAGATTACCACCAATCAAAGACCTTATTTATAACTACCTCCAAACCAACCTTGTGTAGTGGGTTTTGTGTGTTTACTCCTATCGGTTTTGGCCTTGATGCTTGAGATTTGGACCGCTGTTTCGGTTCATGAAAATACACTTGAGTGTGGGGTCTGCTGACCACAGTTTGATTTTATACGTGAATTTGGTAAGCATGTCTGCTCTGCACTCATTCAAGCTGTTGATAAAACTGTTCATTAGCCCAGAGCCAAGCCCTGCCCTGTGCATTCAGAATTCTCCCGAGTTGTTCAGCATTTAACGCAGTGCTTCTTCAAACTAGGCAGGTAAGACCCGAGGTGTCCCATTTCCCATGAGGCAGAGAACGTCATGCCAATAAGTTCAAATCCAAACCAGTCCTTTGGAAGAGCACACGTAACGCAACATCCTGCCCCCAGTCTATGCTGCAGCCACACCAACCGTGGCAGCTGCAGCCCCTCCCATCTCTGCAAATGCACACGGGCTGCTCTTTGCCTTGGAACTCTCCTTTTTCCTCCTGTTCTCTCTCTTTTCTCTAAGATACACTGCAGTCCCATGAATGTGGCCCAAGGTGTTTCACGCTGGCTTGTATCACAACACTGCCCACGCGGAGAGCCCCTGTCTGCATCATCACTAGGTGTGAGCTCTGCGGCTCATGCACTTTGTCTCTGAATCCTGTTAGCCTGGTGGGGTAGGTGGCACGGCATCAGAAGGAGTCATTGAATGAATGAGAATTGCGGTGATGGAGCCGGGTGCTTGTGTGCCTGTGAGCAGGTGCATCTGACTGCCTCCAGGAAATAGCAAAAGCTTTGACAGAGGAGGGGGTGTGGAAGCTGAGACCTGAAGGGTGGGTTTACGAGGCAGACAAGTGGGGAGAGAATTTCCTGGTGGAGAGAAAGCAGCCCATGCAAATGCGTGGTGGCTTGAGAAGGGACAGTGAGGGGTAAGGCCAGGAGGAGTGGGAGGACTGGGTATGGGTTGTGCATGTGTATGGAGGGGTTAGGATGTGGCCTCGGGAATGGTATTTGTTCTCTGAGGAGGGGCGTCCAATCACCTACAGTTCTGTGTAGCTCCAAACATGACCCACCGTGTGGTTTTGCATCTAAGCAATAAGTGGATTTTTCTAACGCCTTGCTGAACGTGTTGGAAGACTTGCCAGAAACAACAGCAACAACAACAACAAGGAAGTAAAGAACCTGTACTTTGCTATGTATCATGCGCTTTGATGTGTAGGGTGCACCCATGGTTTTGTGTGCATTATACATGGGATTATGACACCCATTATTATACCCATGGCATGCAATCGGTAGACCCATGTAGGATGTGCGTGCTTACAATCTGGGCAAAAAGTGTGCATTACACATGGTAAAATACAGTTGTTTGGGGGGAACTTATTCTTAGGGAGCCTGTGCTGGTACAGAGTCATCGGTAGTTCTTTTTCCCACTTATTTAATAGTCTGTTTTTTTTTACTTTCCCAGGTTTTGACAATCAGTCTACCTCTTCGCAGCTCACAGAATGAGCTTTCTCTTAATTTTTAAAAAGCTTTATCTTATCTAATTATTATTTATTTTTATTGAATTTATTGGGGTGACATTGATTTATAAAATTATACAGGTTTTGGGCATACAATTCTATATCATCTGTACATTGCATCATGCATTCACCACCCGAAGTCAAGTCTCCTTCTGTCACCATTTACCCCCCCTTTTCTGTCTTCTATGTCCCCCCCACCCCATTTCCCCCTGGCAATCATCATATGGTTGTCTCTGGGTTTTTCTTTGGGGGGGCAGGGCTTTCTCTTAATTATGAAAATTAAGACATCTGCCCTGCCTTCTGTCTCCTGATGACTGTGTTCTCTGGATTCCTAAGGTGACCCACAGCAGTTCTGGGGGCACATATGTCATTTGGGCAGGGGAATAGTTTCAGCAGGCCTAGCGGCTTGGACTCCTCAACACTATCCTCCCTCGAGCTTCACCATTCAGTTTCAATAGCATGTGGCGAACCGCGTGGTGAAGAAGACTTCGAGACTCGGGTTCATGCGGCTCAACTTTTGGGCCGGGTACGGGTAGGGAGGACTAAAAGCAACAGAAGAGCTGATTAGTTCTCGGCCCTTTGTCACCTGTTGCATATTATCTGTTCCGAACATGGTCCCATAACTTTAGTGTTGTTCTTGCTCTGTAAATACCTGGAAAAGCCTACTTTCTTTTTTTATTCCTCACCCAAGGATATGTTTTTATTGACTTGAGAGAGAGAGAATATTGATCAATTGCCTTCCATACATGCTCAGACTAGGGATCAAACCCGCAACCTTTTGGTGTATGGGACGATGCTCCAACCAACTGAGCCACGCCAGCTAGAATGCAGAGTCTGCTTTCTTGCTCACAGCATTTTGGGGCAAGTCTCAGCTCAATTCTGAGTTTGTCTTCCGAGTGCATTTTCTCTGATTTTGTATTTGCCCTTGGGTACGTGCCCTCCTTGCATCTTTCAGATCCATCTTTCTCAATCCCCATAGCTGATAGAGTTTGGGGACGTGTGGAGGACAGGAAAATCCCTAATTTGTCCATCAGGTTGACCAAATGTTTTGGGGTTTTTGGGTTTTTTTTTCTTTCATACTACATTCAGTCCCATCCCCACCACACCCACCTGTCTGGGGGACCCGCCTGCAGACACCCACCTGCGAAGCGTGTGAGAACAATGACATAGCTCTCCACATCATCCTCTGGGGCCCTCCACCGAAGCAGAGCTTCCGTTGGAGTGACGTTGGTAGCAATCAGGTCCTTGGGGTTGTCCATGGCTGAGACAGGACAGGAGAATATCAGGTAGAGGAAGGAGGGACCGCAGGCCGGAAGTGCAGAGGCTGGTCCCCTGCAGTTCCACCTGGGCGTCTCCCAGAGTTTCACCCATGACACACGCCTGCCGCTGTGCTGTACAAAACAAGGGGGTGGGTGGAGACTGCTTTCTTTCCTCCCCTCCTGCTTCCGGCGGCCCCTACTCTCCTCCCAGTCTTCCTTCCTCTCAAGTACGCAGTTCTTCCAGACCTTTCTTTTAATTAATTCAGGTGCTATCAGGTGCCCTGGGGAATTCCAAGGCATGGTCGTGTGTCTTAGGCACTTCAAGCTAGATGGAAAAACTAAGAGCATAGCATATAGAGACTGTTCTAATTCGTTGGTGAGCAGGAGAATATGCACCTCAGGCTATTCGTACTTTCACAGATGTGAGCAGTTGGTCTTGTGACCCCTATGAGTGTGGAGTCAGCTCCACGCAGCCCCTAACTTAGAAGGTCCTTGTGCAATGGCTGAATGGGGCCTCAGGCTGCCTCCAACGTCCCACCCGGCTACTGCATTCCTGCTTTCCTGCTCACAAGGCTCAGCTCATACCGAGTCCTGGTATCTTCCTATGACACAGAGAAGCAAGGGCACTCTCCCAGGCTCAAGGCCAAGAATGCTGTTGGGAGAACTGTCTGCTTGTTACAGGACCACAGTCCTATTCTAACCACCTCCCTCTCATGAACTTGGGACTCATTTTAGCAATGGATGTTATTACAATGGTTTGGGTACCAGCCTCAACTCAATGCCACGTAATGGACTTCTGCGGACCGAGGGGTCTCGTAGGCCTGGCCCCGTTCTGTAATGGAAGGTTTTGCTGCTTGCCTATGTCCCTATTTCAGAGCCACAGCAAGAAAATGTCTTCATAATTTTAACATCTGAATTGTATCTATCATCTCTGCCTTCAAAAAATTTTTCAGATTCTCATAGTCTTTTAGGAGAATTACTGACGAAAAGTCTTATGGAACTGGATCAGCTTGGTGTGTTTGAGCTTAAGCATGAGACCCAAACGAGTGCCGATTTCCAGAACTGTACAATCACAGACCTCACGGTAACACAGCAATGACAAATGGCAACAACATAAGACGTTTTGGGGAGCAATCTGGTTATTGGAAGTTCACCAAAATAGCGCCACCTGAACTTGAAGGAGGGTGGTTTGGGTTGATGTACCGTAGAGAGGTACTTGCTGTTTTTGACCAGGATCCCAAGACATGCATTTTTTGAGCCACGTTTCTGCTCTCTTTTATCTTGGGGGTAGGAGACTCTTCAAATCCATTTTATTATCCTCAGTGAGAAATGCCTAATTTCTTTATCATGAATTTCTAAGACTTTCAGGAAGTGTAAGGGGGGCTTCTGTTGACTCACTGGGCATCACTTCCGGGTCAGTACTTGTTGATACTTCAACGGCCACAGGTATGTGATGGAAGTGGTAAGACTGAACCAAAAACACGGCGGGGTTTTTTGTAGCCATGGCCCTGGAAGGAGACTAGGGAACATTTGAATAGCCTGTGGGTGTCTCTAGAGGAATAATTTTGAGTTTCTGAAAGGATGTTTCTTTGGCCGTGACCTTAAAGATGCTATTGACCTCTGTGCTACCTCTGCATGGTGGGCTGGCTGGGGGGGGGGCAGTGGAGCCCTGTCCTCAGGCCCGGAAGGGGCTCATTTCCCAGAGGAGGCCAGTGCCTTCTTCCTCCATCCCTGGAGCAGAAAGCAAGAACAAACGCAGCTCCTTGGTGGTCGTGGCCGCATTCATTGAGAGGCTGCATGATCACAAGGGTTGTTGCTACAATAACAACCCCTTCCTTCCTGGAGGGGAACTTCCTTCTCTGAATCATTTAAAAATTAGAGGGGATGATTCGGACATCTGTTCTGGAATTCACTTCCATCATAGGTCTTTGACAGGTCACATTTCAGACTGAAGTTCCATGAAAATCCCTGACCTAGACCAGAGCAGCTCCTGGAGGGTCTGTGGAGAGCGCACTGTCCAGGGAGAGAGGAGCTGCAAACTGCTGTGCATGATGCAGTGCGTCAGAGCGGTGCCCAGGAACGGCGCCAGCGGCCCTCTGGGTCAGCTGGAACACCCTCACTCTGTGCCTCTTTTGTCTGTAGCAGGTCCTCAGTCAGGGCTCTGAATTGGCCATGCCAGGGAGACACGCCTACCTGTGTGCACGGGAGTGCAGATGAGCCTACCTGTGTGCATGGGAGTGTAGACATTCTTCCCTGTGTTCATGGGAGTGCAGACAAGCCTACCTGTGTGCACAGGAGTGCAGACGAGCCTACCTGTGTACACGGGAGTGTAGACGAGCCTACCTGTGTGCACAGGAGTGCAGACGAGCCTACCTGTGTGCACGGGAGTATAGACATTCTTCCCTGTGTTCATGGGAGTGCAGACGAGCCTACTGTGTGCATGGGAGTGCAGACAAGCCTACCTGTGTGCACGGGAGTGCAGACAAGCCTACCTGTGTGCACGGGAGTGCAGATGAGCCTACTGTGTACACGGGAGTGCAGACGAGCCTACCTGTGTGCACGGGAGTGCAGACGAGCCTACCTGTGTGCACGGGAGTGCAGATGAGCCTACTGTGTACACGGGAGTATAGACATTCTTCCCTGTGTGCATGGGAGTGCAGACGAGCCTACCTGTGTGCACGGGAGTGCAGATGAGCCTACTGTGTACCCGGGAGTATAGACATTCTTCCCTGTGTGCATGGGAGTGCAGACGAGCCTACCTGTGTGCACGGGAGTGCAGATGAGCCTACTGTGTACACGGGAGTATAGACATTCTTCCCTGTGTTCATGGGAGTGCAGACGAGCCTACCTGTGTGCATGGGAGTGCAGACAAGCCTACCTGTGTGCATGGGAGTGCAGACAAGCCTACCTGTGTGCACGGGAGTGCAGATGAGCCTACTGTGTACACGGGAGTGCAGACGAGCCTACCTGTGTGCACGGGAGTGCAGACGAGCCTACCTGTGTGCATGGGAGTGCAGATGAGCCTACTGTGTACACGGGAGTGCAGACGAGCCTACCTGTGTGCACGGGAGTGCAGATGAGCCTACCTGTGTGCATGGGAGTGCAGATGAGCCTACTGTGTACACGGGAGTATAGACATTCTTACCTGTGTGCACGGGAGTGCAGACGAGCCTACCTGTGTGCATGGGAGTGCAGATGAGCCTACTGTGTACACGGGAGTATAGACATTCTTCCCTGTGGGCATGGGAGTGCAGACGAGCCTACCTGTGTGCACGGGAGTGCAGATGAGCCTACTGTGTACACGGGAGTATAGACATTCTTCCCTGTGTGCATGGGAGTGCAGACGAGCCTACCTGTGTGCACGGGAGTGCAGATGAGCCTACTGTGTACACGGGAGTATAGACATTCTTCCCTGTGTGCATGGGAGTGCAGACGAGCCTACCTGTGTGCACGGGAGTGCAGATGAGCCTACTGTGTGCACGAGAGTGCAGATGAGCCTACTGTGTACACGGGAGTGTAGACATTCTTCCCTGTGTTCATGGAAGTGTAGACAAGCCTACCTGTGTGCACGGGAGTGCAGATGAGCCTACCTGTGTACACGTGAATGCAGACACGCTCACTCTCCTCCCTGCCCCGCACGCTGTTAAGACCAATTTCGTATTCAGTTGCTGTCTGCAGCTTGGTGACGGTGAATTCTGTCACAGTGTTAGGCACCACGGAGCTGTCCAGCCGCCCCACTGAGGAGGAACAGAAGCCACAGTTAGCGTTCGGGGGAATCGCATTGGCATAGCTCACGCTACAGTGTGCAGAGGAGCTCTTGGGAGCACCGGGTCATGATGCAAGGATGGGTGTGAGGCAAGGCGCCCAGTGGGGACTGTGTCCTCCACCAAGGCCATGTGCACTACTAAGGACTGGCAGGATGCAGGCCAGGTCTGGCCAATTTCCTCTGACCCATAACTTGGCCTGAGTGGCAGAAACAGGGCCACCATCACTGCGGTTCCCTCTGAGTCTCCACCTGGTTCAGCGAGGTCTTCAGGTGCCCGGCCCCGCCCCTCATCCAGGGCCCTAGTCCTAGACTTCACTCTTTCAGGAACCGGCCTGTGACCCTGGCTCTTGGCAGATACTTTCAGGGCTCTCTGTGCCTCATGACACTGCCTAGGGGAGTGTGACCAGTTCCCCCTGCAGGTGAGGGGCCTGCTTTATGGGCGAAGGTAACGAGGACTTTTACGACCCAGCCGCGCTCGTTCTGATGGGACGTGCCACAGAGAGAAAATGTGCAAGCAGGAGTGACGTCCCCTGGGACGTGTTGCCTCTTTCACGACAGCCCCTCCTAGCTCCAAACCCCATTGATCTTGGGAAAACTGAGTGGCCTCCTTACCTTGCGTTGGCCGATAGGACACTCGGTAGTAATCCAAAGATGCAACAGGGGGGCTCCAGGAGACAGCCACGGAGTTCTTGGTCACACTGATAATTGTGATGTTTCTGGGGGGATCGATTCCTACAAGGGGCCCGGTGGTGGTGGGGAAAGACAGGAAGCACAGTGTGAGAAGGGGATCCATGCCCCTGGCCTCACATGGACCAAGAGCCGGCCGCAGGGGCAAACAAGACCTTGTTGCGCGAGGGCACCCTGGACCCTGTGGTCCAGCTGAAGGCCCACCCACAACCCCGTAGGGAAGGCCCAAGCCACAGTAGTAAAGGACAGTTCAATGACACGAAGTCACTCTGGCAGGCTCTGTGCCTGGGCAGCAACTGTCACCTACCGATGGCCAGCTGGATGGCTGACTTTAAGTCTGTTGTGTGTCTGTTTTGAACTAGGATCAACGTGGCCATTTCTCTTGGGTAAACCCAGCTCTGTCTCTAATTTTTTTAGCTGCCCCTTTTGGTCCATTTGGAAGAACTGACTACTGACTGGAGAGGGATTTCAGAGCACAAGTCCAGGAAAAATATCCACTTTCCTGGACTGTATTCATGTTTGCTGTGGACTGTGTTCTTCCTGTGACTGCTGGAGTATCACAGGATAAAAACCAGGGGAGGGTCAACCCACTTGTCCAGCCGTGAGTCCTGGGCAGGCCGCAGCAAACGCCCCATGCTTGTGTCCTCGCCCGCCTGCGCGCTCATGTTTGGGAGTGCGTTTGGGAATGATGAGATGAGCGTGGGCCAATCCGTCTCACGGTGCCCAAACAACGTGCAAATCCCAAGAACGGGGTTGAGTGCTCCGAGCGCCAGGCCCGGCGGTTGAACGCAAGTCCATCTGATTCTGGGGAAGCATCCTCAGCATCAGTGACCTCACCGAGCAGTCACGAGCGGGCTCCCCGGAGTAAAACAGAGCTCTCCGTAGTGGAGAAGGGTCTCCTCTCAGGGACCAGCTCTCTCCTGGGCTCTCGCCCGGGCTGGCGCAGGAGGACCTCTGGACGGACCCACCTGAGCCCTGTCTCCTAAATGGCAGTTTCCCATCTTGGGCATTTCGTGCAACTCCGGAGGGAGTGGCTTTCCCACAGCAGCTCACAGGCCCTCTTGGGCTGAGCAGAGCAGGCTCCTTCCTGCTCCGTGGGTGTTTCACTATGTATGTCCCATTCACTCATCAAAGGCTATAGGGGGACCCCTTCCCCACCTGCTGTCCAGCCCTCCGGCCTCACCTGTGGTGATGGAGCCCACGATGGGCTCAGAGGTCACGGTGCCATGGACTGCCACCAGGTTCACGATGTACTCGGTGGCCGGCTGCAGGCCCATCAGGACAGCGTGCCTCTTGGTGGCATCCAGGGAGACTTCTGTCACCTCATCCTCCTCATCCCGGGGGCTGTAGTTCAGAATGAGTCTGTCTGCTGGGGGGGATGGGTCACTCCAGGTGATGTTCACGCTGGAGGAGGTCACGTGAGAAAAGTGCAAATGCGAGATGGGGCGGAAGCCTGCAAGGCAGAGGAGAGGAGAGGTTCTGGAGACCATGCAGAGGGCGGGGGCACGGATGAGGGCCACACCCCCACTCCCAGCTGAGCCAGAAGTCCTGCCTCCAGTACTGTCCAGTCTGATTTACTTATGATACCAACCCCGAATTTAAAGCCTGTATCCTGGAAGGAGTTTAACATGATCCCATGGATCTTCTGAACGCCCCTGACTTAGTGCAGGTGGGGACAGAGGGGCAGAACTAACCGCTCCGCCTGGGCTGTACAGAATCCGGCTAGTGCTGCCAGGACCACGGGGAGCTTTGCTTGTCTCTCTCCTTTACCTCCAGCTGGTCCCTCTTGATGGTTTATGAGTTTCTCTTCTATCTGTTCCTCCTCGGCTCGCACCCCTCCTTTCTCTAAGTGACACAGGGCACGGGAAGAGTGGGCTGCCTGGATGACCTGCTCCCCCGAAGGGCCGTGGGTCCCTGAATCCAGCTGGTCTGCTGCCACCCTGGTACCTGTGAAGGCGTCCACAGTGGACTCCAAGCTCTGCTGCCGACCCCTCTCGGCGGTGATCGAGATGATGTACTCTGCCCCGGGCTCCAGGTCGGTCAGTGTGTGTGCGCTCCTGTCCCTGGGCACGGTGACCTCTGAGGCGATCCCTGAGGACGGGGTGAAGGTGATTCGGTAGTGGTCAATGGGGCCGCTGGCCTGGGTCCAGATGAGGGAGATGGAGGTCTCCGAGGAGGCTGTCACCATGAGGTCTCGAGGGCTGTCCAGTTCTGTGGATAAGCACACGGAGCCCCCTTACCGCCTGCCGTGTGATGTCTAAGCTCTCAGCTGGCCTGCTGGCCACGAAGGTCACCCCGTCACTGCCGACACAGTTCGCTCACTTCTGGTTAAGCACCTTCCCCTTGAAAGGTGGCTGGGGGGCTGTGCAAACAGACGTGCAATCTGGAGAAAGCCTGCAGATTTTCAAGCTTTGCAAATTCATCGGCTCCCAGCCTGCCTCAGTAAGCCAATCAGGGCGGCACAGGAGCCACAGGTAGGGCTGTGCCAGTCCTGGCAGCAGCAGCCATCTCTGTTTCTCAGGTACAGCCCAGGGCTTGCACCTCAGGCACTACAGTGACTTGGAAATTTGCCCGGGACTTGGACATGAAACTGGTGGATCCAGAGTAGTAAGGACCTCAAGTGGACGTTTCCATTGCCCTGGGGTTTCAAGGGTTGTTTCCACGCCCAGACCTTCGCCCCTCTGGCCTTTCTGAGGGCTTCTGTGGCACCCAGTGAGGAACAGCCTCTGCTGCCTGCTGTGGGGTGGGTGGTCTAGGAGAAACAGGACCCGCTCTGGTGCCTGCTTGTTTGGGAGTTTCCACCTCCGCTCCGGACAGCACTGGGGCCCCCCTCGACCACAGAGGGCCATGCACAGCTGGCCGGGGAAGAGGGCAGGGCTCCATCCTGGATGTCAGATGCCAGGGGTTAGATGCAGGCATGCAAAGGCTGCAGGTGGATGCTGTTCCCCGCTGTGAGCTGTCGCCCAGGGACCTGCTCTCTGGGGCACTGCCTTCTGAGCGGGACAAGCCTCCCGGCTCCTCCCCAGCTCCTCCCAGGCTCCTCCCCAGCTCCTCCCAGGCTCCTCGGGACCACAGGGTCTCCTGGTCTTCTGCACCGATTCGCCTACTCACCCGTCCTGGCATTCATGGTGGCTGGTATGCTTTGCTGCGAGTTCATGACAGCAGATATTCCAACGCCGTACTCAGTGCCCGGCACCAGATCTGCCAGCAGGTGCAGAAACAGACGTTATTCTAAGTGTGTGTCAAGGGTGGAAAGAGGAGGGAAGCGAATCATCTCACCCTCCTGTTCACCTCTCGTGTGTAGTCCTTCCTGAATCCCCCCTGACTTTGCCTATCAGGAAACCCCACGTTCACCACTTAGGAAATGCATGCCCCTCAACAGGACGAACCGGTCAGTGCAGGGCTTCCTTCTGCTGTTGGTGTCCTTGGGGAGGCAGGGGCTCCCCTTGTCTGTGACCTTCGGAAGTGTGCCCTCCTGTGGGTGGGGCTTCTGTGGTACAGCTGGTGAAGCCACACCCGGCCTGCACTGTGAATCGGGGGGGTGCGGTCTACAGGGGCAGTGTGGACACAGGCCTTTAAAATGTGTCTTGGGTGTCGTACATGAGGACCGAGCTGCACCTTTGGCACGTGCTGGCTGAGGCCCCACAGGGATGCCTGGGTCTCTTCGAGAGAGTGGCAGTGTGTGGTCTTTCTCTCTGAGCACAGGGCTGTCCCAAGGGCTCCACCCTCATGGCCTGGTTACTCGCCAAAGGGTCCATTCGCTAAAGGTAGGATGGCTGTGACGTCTGAGTTCGTGGGGCGGGGGACACGAACATTCGGTCCACAACACGTGGCCTTCTCCCTGTGTCTCTGCTCCCCACTTCTCCTGAAGACACCAGTCACAGAGGACTTAGGGCTCACCCTGACCCGTTATGACCCCATCTTAACTTGACTTCCTCTGTAAAGACCCCAATGTCGAGTAAGATCACATTCACAGGTTCCAGAATACATGGGTTTTGTGGGGGACCCTTCAAACCAGTATACCCTCTTTTTATTAAAAAAAAAACTAAGGCAAAGAGTAAGCCTGTGACCCACTGGAGATGACCCTTAGGCTTCTGGTCTCGGGGTTCAGGGCTTTTAGGAGGACGAAATGTTCCGCCCTCCCTGGAGCAGCTGTGATGCCCTCAGCATCCCTGGAGTGTCGAGAATGATCCTGAGAAGAGAAGCACGGACGGGCAAGGCTTCCCGAACCAACGGCTTAGCTGCACAAGTGTTGAGGGCAGCAGAGGCCGTGCACCAGCCTGCCCTCATCCCGCCCGCCACGTGGACTCAGCAAAGGCTCTGCAGCCAATGCCCCCACGCTCCAGCACGGCAGGACCTCCCGGGCCTTCCTGACCCGGCTTCCTGGCAGGAAAACATCAGATTCAGGCTTTTCCCTCTCTCAAACCAGCCCCGCCCGCTTCCTAGCCCTCGGCTCTTCCTCCGCAGGGCCAGCACTAGTGGAGGTGAACTTGGAAGTCAGAACTTGTGGTCTGCCAAACTTCCATTAGCACGTCCCGGCTCTGCCACTCTCCACCTGTGTCACTGTGACCACCTACTGTCTGTAGAAGGAGATGAATAATAGTCCCTGTCTCAGAGGGCCATTGTGAGGATGAAATGAACCAATGTGTGTCAAGTTCAGTGCCTAGCTCATCGAGACAGTAGCCACGATTCAGAGAACTGTTCTAAGATGTCGAGTCGTGTTCCCCAGGCAGGTACAGGTCAGTCCTCGGCACACCTGTTGTTGGTTCTCTGAGGCTTAGCCTGGTGGCTCTGATGAAATCAGTGGCTGGGGGAGGCCAGGTGTCAGCGAGGAGCTGGCCCCTGGCGGGGCCGACACCTGTCACCAGACTGATGGGGTGATTGCAGTGTCCAGATCTGTTCGAAGCACAGATTCATCTCCGTCACGAGTCCCAGGCATATCCTTGGTTGGAGAAATTAGATTACCTTCGGGACATAAACTACTCTTCCCGGGCAGCTGATTGAGACCTTCAATTGCCTATAATGAAGTAGAAATTCTGTGACATAGATGAAGGCTGACAGATTGAGGGCGTAAGACAGAAATTATATGGTGCCAAGCGGATCTAACATGCACTGTTTTCATCCAAGTTTCTTATTTATGAAGCTTAAACGAAATGCTCAATAATTTACAATGGAATCATCTTCTTCCAGAAAACCGCGGAGCAGAATTTCAAGTACCTGCTTCCCGGCCCTTGTGTCTGGGGAGTGGGGAAGCGGGACTCGCCTTAGAGGTCTCTGCCTGCTTCCTTCCTTTGATTTTCAGCAGCTTTCTTCCCACACTACAAGCCATCGGTGCTTTTTGCCGGCAGCTGAAACGCACTTCCACCGAGGCAGAAAATGTGTATCTGAGGCAAAGGCAGCTCACTTCTGGATCGGCGCGGGAGGGCTCCGAGGGATTTCTTGAGTCTTCAACTCCTCGCCGCTCTCTGTCAATGCTCCCCACTCTCCTTCCGGCTTCTGCACGTGGGAGCACAGAAACGGCTCTGTTCCCTGCCTCAACAGCAGCTCAGAAAATACACCCCAGAGGGAACCACCGGTCTCCATCTCTTATGCCACCTCCCCGGCTCCGCTTGGAGGTGGCTCTGTCCTTAGCTCTCTCTCTTTCTCTCTCCATTCATCTCTGGCTCCTTTGTGCCCGGCGCCAGGCTGTGAACTCGGGATACCGGGGGGAGCTGAAGAGACAGCACCCTTGCCCTTAATGCGATTTTGAAAGTCTGTACTGAAGGATAAAACTACTTATTCCTTGAGCACCTGTACTATGCCGAGCACGGAGCCGCATGCTACAGGTAGTGGGGAAAATAATGAGGAAGAGCCCTGGCTGGTGTGGCTCAGTGGGCTGGGCGTCATCCCGCAAACCAAAGGGTTGTGGGTTTGGTTCCCAGTCAGGGCACAGGCCTAGGTGACAGGATTGATCCTGCCGGGGCGCTTCTGGGAGGCAACTGATCGATGTCTCTCTCTGTCTCTATCTTGCTTCCTTTCTCTCTGGAATTAATGGATATATCCTTGGATGAGAATTTTTTTTAAAAAATGAAAGAAAAATAGTGAAGAAGACAGGGAGGGATGGAAAGAGGGGTAAGAACTGGGGGAGCGTTGCTGGGTGTCTGACGGTCAAGAACGCTATTAGCGTCTACAGTTCCTGAGAGACCACACCTGTTAGCCCCTTTCATGCCCCTGCAGCTCTGCCAGGAGGGGGCCACTGAGGGGCAAACAGAGGCCCCCAGAGGTCCCTTCCTTGACCAAGGTCAGAATGCTCATATACAACAAAAAGATGGGGTTGGGACCCAAGTCCTTTGTTCTTTCTGGCCCATCCTAGCATGGTCCCCCAGCCCCAAAACTCCTGCAGGCTAGGAGAGGGGCGTGGAGTAAGCAGACTGGAACTGGGGATCCATCTGGCGCTCTGCCAGGGGGCACTAACTAAGAAACCACTTCTGGAGTCGGGATGAGATCTGCGCGGGCTGAAGTGGACGGGGAAGGCTTTCTAGAGAAGGGACGAAATGAGAAAAGGAAGAGGGAAGCAGGACGGGGCGTGGTGAGCAGCAGGAACTAGCTAGTTCTCAGCTGCCCCCCAGGGACCGAGGGCAGTAAAGACAGGGTGACCGGCTTCCCCGCTGGCAGGAAGTAGAGGGAACAGGAGCCGGGAGAGACAGAGTCTGCTGTCTCTTGCCAGCAAAAGCAGGAGTGAGACACCTGGAGACTGCAGGTTGGCTGGGTTCAGGTGGACACGCAGAAATGGGGACTCTTTCCATCTCTAGCCCCCCTGGCTCCTCTCCTGAGCTCTGGGACCCTCAAGCCTGCCAGACTGGGGTTGGGGGTCTGGTGGGCCCCAGAGCATTTACAGGTCACCTGCCTTCATAGGCAGGACAGATCCTGCCCCCCAAGGACTTTGCAGCCATTCTTTTAATTTTTAGAGACATTATGTTATTACATTGTTAGTGTTCACGTTGGTCTCCTCACTAGACTCTCTTAGGTCTTTGGGTTAAGGGGCTCGTTTTTTTAATATTTTAATTTAGTATGCAGCATAGTGCAGAGAATGTGGACATACTGTGCAGAGAAGCCAGGGTGGCCTGGGTGGGGGGAGTGTCGGGAAGACTTCCGAGAAAGGTACGGGCCTGGGTTGAAAGGATGGAGTCACGTTTGGGTGGAGAAGAGAGAATAAAACTTGCAAAGGCAGATCCGATAGAACAATTCATGACAACCAGGGCCCCTCCCAGGGAACTTTCCAGCAGTGGAATTTGGGTGCCAGAGGCTCCCGGGTGGGGACGTGTTTGGAGACAGAAGTCTTCAGGGAGCCCCTGAAGTCACACCAGAGAAGCAACAACCCCCTTTTCCGTGCAGGGCAGGGCGAAGCTCTCAGGCTTCCCATCCTGATCTCCGTGGGGGGTGGTGGAGGGCTCGTCTCCCAGTCTCCCACACAAGGCAGGTCTCCCAGGAGGCCGGACTTCCTCAGAGGACCTCTCCCTGCCTTCTCAGCACAGGTGATGGCCAAGCACCAAGAGAAGCAGCCAGTGCCACGCTGGCATTAAGGAAGGGACTGGCCCGAAAACATGAAGTTAAAAACTGTACTGGTACCAAGGGATGTTCTTGAGGCAGCAGCTCTTAACTCTGTTCTGCAGGAACAACCTGTCTCCAGGGTTCCCACCTGGCTCTTCCCCGGTTCCCTTGCCCCAGCCCTTCACCGTGAACAAGGGGACAGACACCTCTGTGCCAGCTCTGAAGAGGAAGCGGGCTGTGGACGCCCTCGTCCTCCTCTCTCCCACTTGGGTTTCCACAGCCCACTCCCCACTTGCTGGGTCCCTGGAAGGTGGTGTCAGGTTCAGAAGGTGCCTTACCAAAGTGACCACTTGGGGGCACTGTGACTCTGCCCGCAGGAGGCTGAGCACAGTCTAGGCGCCTCCTGGGTGCCAGGCCTGCCCTGGAGGGCTCCACCTTATTATCCTCTGGGATAAGCCTGCAGTGAGGGTGCTGAGGGTCTGGCACCCTGGCCCTGGCACGTCAGAGGGAAGGGACAGCCAGTGTCTTCGTCCTGATCTGCCAGATGGGCTCCTCCAGGAGTCTCAGATTTCTCCATGGCAACCCCTCCTATGGACATGCACATTTCCTGCCTTCACCCCTTGGGGAGCCCACCTTCTGACCCCCAGGCCCCCAGGAGAAGATGGGTTCAGTAGAACCCTTCATTCCAGCAAGGGACGGTTTGGAGGTGGCAACTCCCTTGGCCTGGCTGGGCCAGAGAGAGGGGCTGTGACTCGGCCGCAGGTCTGGGCTTTCCTGCAATCTCACATTGTACTGTGAGGTCTGGGTTTGCGGTCGGCATCCTGCTGGTGAGGTCGAGGTGGTCACACGCCGAGAGAGGCAGCTGGCTGGGAAGTGACGTCAGGAGGCACGCAGGCAGGTGCTCCATGGGCTGGGTCAGAAGGCCCTGGGGCTCTGGGGCTGAGCCGTGCTTACTGGCCATCAACTGGGCCTGCCTCCCGCTGCCTCCTGCTGCACGGTCCTCAAGTGTAGGCTCCTGGTCACGAGGGAGGACCAGGCAAGGGGGTGCCAACAACTGAGGACGGACCCTTTTCCCTTCTTGGCAAAACTCGGCAGCCACAGTCTTTTCCGATGGCAGATTGGTGGGGCCACCCCAGAGGGTGAGGCCAGAACTGGTGGCATCCTCCCCATGTTACAGGTGGTGAGATAGGTTTAGAAAGGTGAAGTCAGCGACCCTGAATCACACCGGGCGTGGCGTCCTGCATCCCTGCATGCCCTCACCATGTTCCCCCCGAGCAAAGCATTCAGTGAAAACTGGGGCGAGAGAGGGAGACCCTCCGCTGGGAGCCCCGATTCTCTCTGACGAAGGGCCAGGGAGCGTGGAGGTGGGGACCAGCGGGATGGCTGCAGGTGAGCGTGCATGCCCTTCCCACCTTGACCGGCTTCTTGTCTTGCACACGCAAATAAAGAGTTCGGAACCAGAAGAAAGTGGGAGTGGGGGCCCTGGGAGGCTGATAAGCTCTTGTCTTCAGCGTCCAAGGTGGGGAGTGGGCACAGAACCACAACTGTTTAGAGCTGGGATCAAGCTTCTCCCTCATTTTGCCTTCCCTCCCTCACGGCCCACCCCACCGTTTTCCCAGAAGCCACTGCGGGAGAGCCAATAGTCCTTGTAATTTGCATCTCAGCAAGTACAGACATACTCGATTTCCTTCTGTGCCTATAAACTCTTCTTAAGTCACATAAAGCCATTTGCCTTTATAAATCTCCCCAGCAGTGAGCTCCCTGGAATAATTATGAGTAATATCTATTTGTAGGTTAATTTCATCAGCCCAGCTCTAATCAAAAAAATCGACCTCTCGAAGCCCGCTCCTCGAGAATCACTTCTCCTTTCCTTGTGAGTCTGCAACACTGACATTTGGGCAGCTTTAGCAGGGTGCCGCCATGGAATTGGAGGCACGTGAATAGGACTCAGAACCGCCTTTGAATCGCTGCTGCGCCCCTTGCTAGTTTGTAAGCCGGGCAAGTTTCCCAGTGCCCTGATCCACATCCACAGAAGGTTTCTGCATCCACAGAAGGAAGATGCTATCTTCCCTCATGAGGCTGTGGAAGTGAAGGGAGCTGTAACTTCCTGGAGGGGTCTGGAGGAACATAGGTGATTGACGAAGGTAGAGTCTTTTCCCCTGGTTGAGGGGGATGTGACCGGGTTCTTCTCGACATGTCTCGTGACTTTATGGTAAATCCGCCATCCAACAAATGGCCATCATCCTTGGAAACTGCTAATCACCAAATCGGCCCGAGGCTCTGGGCAGGGATGGGCTGTGCTTGGAGTCAGTTCCCTCCTGTGTCATTTCAGCTTTTTGGTTTGGCTTGATTTCTGTGAATGTCTCCAGCTCTCTGTAAAGGCCCTTCCGCCAGCTGGCCTGTTCCTGCTACATCTAATTCACCCCCATTAACCTGCTTGGTCAGCATATCTTTTCATCTCCTGGCTGTGTTTTCAGGAGCTCGTCAGCCTGAAGAAAAGCATTTATTATATTTACTTTAACTGGCCTCATTTGGCAAGGCAGTTTGGGATCTCAGCTCAGGAAGAAAACGGCTCTGATTAGTGTGCCCTTGTTTACTGGATGCGCTCTTTGCTGTGTGTCCCTTGTCTGCTAAGGTGGCAGATGCTTCTGTAGAAAGCCAGGACACAGCCAACTGGTCTCTGTGCGGCAGCCGTGGTCTCTGCATCTGACATGCCCCGAACTGCCAGTTTCCTACCCTCAGGGAAGTCCGCCGGGCAGGTCTTAGGTGGGTGTGTCTGAGCCCCTGGAGGGCACTGTCTGGGCTCCTATCCCCCACAGGGACAGGGCATGCTCCCAGCCAGGCATCATGGTGACCTTGACCATCACCTTAGGGCACCGACATCTCTTCCCTTGATTCCAGTACAGCCTGGTGACCAATCTCTGCCTCTGGCCTTGAACCCTCGTCCCTTCCCCACTGCAGCTACGCAAACCTAGGCATTGCGCCCCCTTCTTTAAAATCCCCCAAAGGCCCCCACTCCTACTCTGCATAGGGCATAGAAGGCCTGACCGTGCTCTCACCTTGTCAATGACTTTTGTCACCTATGCCCCGGTCACAGTGAACATTTACAGTTCCATCCCCCCACTGTTCATCTAGAACCTAGTAAGCACTAGACACCGTGCTAGACGCTGGGGAGCCAGTGATGAGCAAAAGCAAACATGGTCCCCTCCCACAGAGCTTCAGGTCGAGGGCGGACAATGACAACTGAACCATCACACCACACGTGTGCAATGACAGAGTGAGGGTGCTGGGAGGAGGGTGGTAACCGGGGAGATGAGGCTGCAGGACAGATGGCCTGACTTCGCCTGGGAACCAGGCAGGCTCCCCAAAGGGACGAGTAAACTGAGAGCTGAGAGGGAAGCAGACAAAACTCATGAAGAGGGTGGTAGGCGAGCCTGAGACATAGCAGAAATCGCATGGAAGCCCCGACACCAGAGAGGGAAGGTGTTTGAGGACAGAGAGAGGTGCGTCTGTGGGCCTGGAGCCCAGGGAGCACCGGGGCACAGGGAAGAGATGACAGGAGGGAGACGGCAGGAAGACCAGGCAGGGCCGTGCGGGCTCTGCTGTGGCCTGGGGTTCATCCTGAGAGCAGCGCAGTCCCTGCAATGCAGGCGCGTGGATGGCAAGATGAGAAATGTAAGACAAGGCATGACAATAGCTTAGGCCAGCTGGCGGTATGCAGCGGAGGGCAGCAGACACATGTGCTATGACACGTCCCGGAGAGGTTAAATCAGTAGCATCAGGTGTGGTTGGGTGTGGGGCAGGCGGGCTGGGGAGAGCGCCATGAGGGTGCAGGCTCGGGAGCCATGGCTTACTCACCGTCGAGGGTGGCTCTGGTGGTTGGACCCGTGGCCTCGGGGACCAGCAGTTCGTGGTACTGCTCGCCTGCCAGGGTGCTGTACACAACCTTGTACTCCTGGACCTCCGCTTCGCTGTTGTCCCACTCGAGGTCAAGGCTGGTTGCTGTGCGGGAGTCAACCCGTAGGTTCTTGGGGGCATCAATATCTACAAAGAGTCAGGCATCTCCAAGATCACTTGGGGTAACGTGCATTCTTTGTGCATCTTGAACCTGAACACACTCTGCGCTGACAGCCCACACCTCCTGGCACTTTGCCTCACATGTGCGGCAGACGCTGGGGCAGCCTCTCAGCCAGGTCAACCGCGGGGAGCATGGAGAGTTTTACTAGGAGTTCGATACCCACGCTTTCCTTCTTCCCCAGGTCCATTTGGTGTTTCCAGTGGTGTTTTAGAAATTTAAACTGAACCCTTTGCATCATAAGCTTAAAACTAAGCAAGGAGCACCCTGGTAGGAGAACATCAGGGACAGCGTGCACAGGATTGAGACGGGCGAGTGGAACATCGAACCTGACCTTGAGCACCAGGAGGACAGCCGAGGGCAGGGTTTTGAGGCGGCCTTCCCCGGGCTTACCTGCACAGACGCTGCTGGGAGGCCTGCAGGTTAGAAAATGCTTTGGGCCGGCGTTGGCAGAAAGAGGTTTGTAACCGTTGGTATGGGACAATGTATCATGCAAGAACAAATAACAATATAAGCATAAACTGTCTCATGTGACGTGGTGAAAAGGCCGTGGGCTTTGGCCTCAGTTTGAGCCCCGGCTCTGCCGCTCACTGTAGTGGGACCGTGGGCGAGTCTTGTCACCTCACTGGGCCTGGACGGCCGCATCTGTACAATGGGCTGATAATACCGACGTGGTAGGTTGCTGTTGGACAGATCAGACAATGCAAATGCAGCGCACGGCACGCTGCCTGGTGTCAAAATAGGTGCCCGAGCCCTGGGCAAACTTTCGGTTGCCTCCCAAGTTCTTTCTGGGTCCCAACAACATGCTTACTCCCTGGGAACCGGCACGTCCAATGCCATGAGGAGACCACCACCACCGCGGCCTCTTTCACAACCCTGGGGGCTGCGTCTCCCTCCCAGGACTGGTCGTCTCAGGCTCATTTTGGCAGAAAGAACACAGACAACTTACAGGGTTACCCGGTAATAGGCAATGGCAAAAAAAAAAAACACCCAAAACCAAAAAACCCCTGCCACCTACGAGGCTCTAAATAGGTCTTGTCTTTGAGACTCAGATTTAACCTGGGTGTGGCCCAGCGTTTGTCCCCAGGGAACCTGGCGTAGGCTGCTTTGAGCTGCCACTGCCAGGCAGGTGTCCCCCAGCTGTTCTTGGGGAAGCCGTGGGTGCGTGACTCCGTCTGCAGCTGCTCCGAAGGGAAGAGTGCTCCGTTCAGTGATGCGAACTGGGTGAATGTTTAGGCAGATTTATGTGTCTGCAGCTTCTTTTCCTGAGAATGGCACCTTGCTCAGCGTGGCTTCAGCACTCGGAGACGGACGTGGGCGTTGCCCCTCCGGCATGCGGGTGGAGAGAGAGGCCGGGACTGGGAGGTGCGTGGGAGGGCCACTCCACACCGAGTGCCACTCAGTCTCCTGCCAGAGGACGGGGTGGGATAAGGCACTGCCCTGGGCTTGGGCTCTGTGGCCTGAACGGGACAGATGGAGGCAGAGTGAGTTAGGGCTATGGTTACAGCTAAGTCCTGCACCTACGGGCTCTTGGAAAGCCCCAGGCCTTGGAAATAATGGTTTTTGTTTTCTGGTTGTTTTGTTAGTTTATTTTTGCTTTGCCTGAAGGCCTGTGCCCTATGAATAGGGGGCAGTGTTCTCTTTGAAGGGACCAGACGTTCCAGAGTTGGTCAAGCCCGGGGATGAGGGCTTGTTGGGGAGTCAGGGCCGGGAGCCTTTGGACTGCGTGGGGTGAAATGGTTAGCGCCCCCGTGAACCGGTCTGAAGCCTGACCTCTGGGAGGGGCAGCTGAAAGGCGGCCCTCTGGGGATGAGCTGGGCTGTTCCCTGCAACCTGTCTGCAAGCCAGGGTTGACGCAAGGACCGATGTCCAGTGGGGGCCCCGTGGAGGAACTTGGGGCTCTGGAATCTGGTTAACAGCCATGTCTAGTCTCTAAAATATGAAGCAGGTTTAGCATTTTTCCTGCTGAACACCTGCCTCTTGCTTCCTATTACCGACTCCCAGGCACGGGACTGACGGCTCTGTGTGGTCCGGCCCTGCCTGCTTCTCAGACTCCCTGATGCAGCGCCGGCCCCTGCGCTCACTGGGCCCAGCTGCCCTGCTTTTGTCCCCACCCTGACACATGCCAAGCTGATTCCTGCCTCAAGGCCTTTGCACAAGCCGCTGCTTTTGCCTGGAACCCTCTTCCTGGGTCCTCGCGTGGCTTCGACCGCATAGGTGTTGATGAAAACTTCGTGTCCTTGGAGGGGTTATTCTGAGCTGCTCCTTCTACATCATCCGTTTCACTTCCCCGCATAATATTGACGCGTGACGTGGCCCTGCGTGTTTCTTTTCTTTCTCCTCCTCCAGCTCCCCCACCGGGAAGTGATTCGTAACAACTGGGTTCCTGTCGGCCGTGTTTATTCCGGAGCCTCAGCGCGTACGCAGGGCAGTGTGTGGCATCTGGCAGGTGCTCAGTGAATACCTGCGAAGTGACTGAGAGGGTGTTGTCTGGTCTCTGTCAGGTCTGTGCCCTGAGAGCCACCAGAGGAACCTGGCTAAAAATCTCGGCTGCAGGGTGAACGCAGCTGGTCCTGTCTGGGAGGCAGGTGCCATCGAGTTTGAAGGTGGAGGAGGATCCCAGTGTGCAATCACTAAGGACGGGGCGTGGCCCCAACTGTTGTGACCTGGGCCTCTGTCAGTTTCCTAGGGCCACCATGACTACCTCCCAAAGATGGGGTGGCTGACGCAGTAGGAATGTGCTGTCCCGTGGACTGGAAGTCTGAGCTCAGGAGCTGGCAGGGCCACTTCCTTGTGGGGCCCATGCGGGAGAATCTGCGCTGAGCCTCTCACTGGTGGCTCGCTGGCCTCCCACGGGCACAGAGGGTCCCAGGAATTCCCTGAAACTAAAACCCAGGCTGCAGTGTGGTGGGACGCATCCTGCATGGGCCGCTGGGTTTCCTCTGGTTCTCTCTCTCTCTCTCGTTGGCCTCGGTGGGTTTCCGTCCGGGGTCCACCTTTCCAGAGCAGCTCTAAGACCCAGGCAAACATCCCGCTCGTCAGGCTGGAAGCCGATCTGCTTTACTTGCCTGTGCAATTAGTGTGCTCCTGGTGTTGAGGCTATTACCTGGGAAAGCACTTCAGCTATTTTGAATTTAAGCCGAGTTCTGAAACTACCGAGGCCCCACCTTGAGGGACTGGGCACCATGCATCCGGCAACTGCCAACCCCTGGCCTGGAGGGCTGGTGGGCAAAGCTGCTCACGTGCCCCCACCTCCACAGCCCCCTCCACCTGGAGCAGAGCAGGGCAGGTGGGAGGTGCAGTCGCCAATCCCCCAGGCAGGCGGCTCGAACCAGAGAATCAGGCGGCAATGAACCGAGCCTCAGGGGGAGCTTCTAGGAGGTGGAACACGACAGTCTTGATTGGGATTTTCCTGGGGCTCCAGCCCATCCTGCCTCCATCCTGGCAACCTGGACATCACGCATTTGCTTTTCATCCCCTTTCATGCCTGGATGAACTCCTTATTCCAGGCAAAGCACAAAGAAGCCACTTTTCAAACAAAAACTACTTTAAAGTTTAAACAGAATGCGGCACCTGCGGCCCACAGGGCACCCCGCACCCTGAGCAGGTGGAGTTGCAGGGCCGACACAAGCTGGCCATGAACTCACGGCGGACAGACACCGTGTGAGGTCGTGCCCCACGCTGGGCCCTAAGCAGGCTGGGTCAGGCGAGAGAGAAGGAAAGGCAGTGGGCAGGATTTAGTTTCCGCGTTCGAAGGGCCTGTGCTCAGTCACCTGGCTGCCACGGTGTGTTGCTGACAAATCTGCCCTGCGTCCTGGGTGTGGGGTGGAGTCCGGGGCTGGAGAGGAGCCCCAAGGGGGCGTCTGTCGGAATCAGGTCCTGCCTCACACTTCATCAACCTCCACACTCGCTTTTTTTAAGGGGGAAGCCTGTTCCCTTTCCTGATGTTCCCTCCTGTGTGTGTGTGTGTGTTGTGGGAAGCCCCCTGTTAAGACTCTGGGCCTCGGTCTCTCTCACACTGGGGAGGATGGACATAGCTCGGTGGTGAGTTTCTCAGCAGGACCTGGGCACGGCCCGTCTGGTCCCCTCTCTTGTGGGGGCCCCTGCTTCTTCCTCTGTGCTGTACGTCCAAACTGCCGCTGTAGAAGGGACTTGCCCAGGCCACCAGGCTCTAATGCTCAGCTACACGCTCCAACCCAGGGGAGTACCTTTTGGCCTCCATCTGCCTTATTCTTTGCCTTAGTAAACACAGGTAGGGGATGGGGTGCTGTTTATCATACCCCCCCACCACTCCGCAGCAGGCTCTTAGCCTCAAGCCCAGGCAAGATGCCTGAATGAGAGATTCCCCTTGAATGATTCCCCATCAGAAGATGCTGGTCCTTAGCTCTTGCAGATGCCAGCAGCTTCCTTGCATCCCTGGGACAGCAGGGAGTTGGCAGACCCACTCCTCAGTGCGTGACCTCACCAGGGCAGAGGGGCCGAGACTGAGAACCTGGGTCCGACAGAGACACAATTAGAGCACAGGTCCCTGCAGACCTGGCCCAAGTGCTGAGAAGCACGCCTTCGGGCGGTGCCTGTCCTATCTGCCCACCAGCTGGCTGGCCGTGGGCTCCAAGGGTCAGGGAGCAGGTCCCTGTGAGGTCTGGCCTTTCCCGACTGTCGGTGAAGCTCTTGAGGAGTCCCAGCAGCCTTGGGGGGTGGGGGTGGTCATCATAACCAGCCAGGCAACACCTGTATGGGGTCTGTCCAGCCTGCTGGCTGTGGGAGTCAGGCATCCCATTAGCCTTAGAGACTGCGCTTACAAACGGCCGAGAGAGTCCCAGAACCTCAGGCGGAGCCGGCTGCCAGGGGCCAGGCGGGGCTTTGCGCAAATCCGAGGGGTGCCATCGTGGTGGAGCCATCGCAGTGGATTTACAGAGTTATTGCTACCATTTCTGCAAACAGCAATAGAGACGCCTCTCCCCAGAACTCTCCTAAAGTTGCCATCGGGGCTCGTAATATGGATGTGTAACTGTCTTCAAGACAAAGCTTTCATTTTACAAATGGGAACGCTGAGACCCTGGGCTGAGACTCGGATCGGGCCACCAGCCTGGCTGGTGACACGAGTGGACAGGAACGCATGCTCCAAGGACGGGCGTGACCCTCTGCTACACCGCAGCATCAGCAGGGGCCCCGGGACCTCTCGCGTCTTGTGCTGACGTGGCTGCCCCAGCGCATGTCACCTCGCTCCCAGACACCCCTCTGGCCCCAACTACACCACCGCCAGCTGGCTACTCCCCGGCCCCTCTGTGCACCACAGCCTCACCTGTTGTGAACTGGGTGGTCGTGGCCTCGCTCTCGTTGGCTCCGCGGATGGCACTGACCCACACCTGGTAGCAGGAGCCGGGCCGCAGGGCCTGGACTGAGTACTGGCTCAGGGGGGGCTGCAGCCGGAAGGTGGTCTTTCCGCCTTCCCCGCCCACCAAGCCGTACTTCAAGAGGATGAAGTCGACTCTGGCTCGAGGGGGAGTCCACTCCACGAAGGCCACGGTGTCGGAGACATCTCGCACCAGGATCTGCGTGGGCCCATCGATGACTGAAAGGGAAGGTCAGACCGAAACGCGGGCTGGAGCCAGGAGCACGGGACACCAGTGCTCTCCCTCCTCCTCCCATTAGCCTGGCCCGTCAGGGAGCGGATGGGCATTACTGCCCCATCTCACAGATGGGCAGACGGAGGCACAGTAAGGAGAGAGCTCTTTCCCCAGGACACAGTTTGGCTGCAAAGTGGCTCTGGAACTTGGGGCTCCTGAACTTTGCTGTGACCGGGCTGTGGTTTTCAGTCCTGGCGCTCCCAGTTTGGGTGGCAGGGGCTGGGGGGCCACTTCCTGGCTGCAGATCAGGGGACAGAACTGAGACCCGAACTTCTGGCCTGAGCCCCACTGCTTAGCTCTGAGGGAAGATCTTCGAGTTATCGGCCTGTCTGAACACGGGAGATGGCCAGCTTGGCTGCCACACAGGGCGTCCTGAGAATCCAAAAGGGGCCCCTGCTTCGCAGTACAAGCAACTCAGTCACCCCAGCTGCCAGGACAGTACCAACACCCAACAGACATTTGCATTTGCGGCATGAAATGTGCCTTCTGGGGAAACTTGGTCTTCTAAAAAAAAAAAAAAAAAGCCCCCAGTTTTGGAGCGGTCTCTATTTTCCCCACCTGTTCTCACAGATTCCTGAGCCAGAAGGACCCTGAGGTCACACCTAGTCTCTAAAGTTATTCAGCATCTTCTCTCCTGAGCCCTGGCCTCTGGCACAAAGCGCTAGGGGGACATCGTTGTGGAATGGCGTGACGCTAGGAAACCGGGCTGGTTTCCTGGCGGGCCACCATTCGTGGTCCCTGCACCCACCTGGGGCCCTGTTCCTGTGGAATTCGGTGGTGTGGGTGGGGCAGGGTGAGAGAATGGAGACAGAAACCAGAAGGAGAAAGGACCTGGTGAGGAGAACGGAAACTGGTCTTCTCCACCGTGGTTGGCTGCCTGGCCAACGTGCTTTCTTCTCTGAACGACTACTCGTTCATTACCTTCTAAAAGTGGGCCCAGTTTCCATTTAGCCTGTGGCGGCAGCTTTCTGACTGCAGCAGATTCACATGAATACTCTTCAAGGATATGGAATGAGAACCAGGGACTCTGGTTCCCTGGTGAGCTGAACTTGGACCATGAGAGTGGCTGTGGCCATTCTCTACGGTATTCACACATCAATGTCAAGTGAGAGAGAGAGGGAACAGGGCTGGGAGCTGATTGCAGGGGGTCCCAACCATGTGATCAGGGGGTTGAACTTTCAGCCCCAGCCTTGACCGCTGGTCAGTCAGTCAGGCCTGTGCACGGAAGGCTTCGTAAAAACTCCACAGGACTGGGTTCAGGGAGCTTCCTCATGCCCCTGTGTCAAATACACCCAAACTCGACCGGGACCTCTTCCTCTGTGTCTCTTCATCTCCTTGTTGATTTGTGTCCTTTAATAATATCCTTTGTCATGAACCAGCGATCTAGTAAGCAAGTGGGTTTCCTGAGTTCTGTGTGCTGCTCTAGCAAATTAACTGAACCCAGAGAGGGGGGCATGGGACCCTCCAACCTGTAGCCAGTCACTCAGAAGCACAGTGACAACCTGGACTTGTGGCTGCCATCTGAAGTGGGGGACAGTCCTGTGGGACTGAGTCCCCAACCTGTTGGGTCTGACACTCTCTCTGGGTAGCGTCAGAATCCAGGTGAACTGCGGGACGCCCAACTAATGTCGCAGAGAACTGCTTGGTGTAGGGAGTCCCCTCTCCCTCCCCCACTGGAATTGGGGACAGACTTTTAGGAGCAAATATACAGAGAGAAGCAGAAATGGGTGACTTTGGGGAGCTTTTAGACATAGAGAGTAATGTGATTCCTGACTTTCCATTTTTCTGGTTCAAGTCTGTAGGGAGCTCAGATGCATGTCTGGCCCCAGGGGGGTCCCCGAGAGGCTGTCCTTCCAGTAAATTCTCTTTCCCTTCAGCTGGTAAAGAAAGATTTCGTCCCTGCTACCAGAGAATCTTGACTTAAGACGGACTCTGTAGTCAGCCCACCCTGGTCTGCCTCCTGCTCTGTCCCCAGAGCAGAGGGTCCTCCTGAGGGGTCTCACCCTGACCTTGGGCCTCTCACTTGTGCCCAGTTGGGCCTTTCCCAGGTCCCCCCACCTTCCGTCTAGCCCAGGCCTGTTTTCTATTAAGCGGCTTAGGATTTGGAGTCTAGTGCCAGCCAAAATGAAAATCACCAGACCATTTTGGGGCCACCTGGTTTGGAGTTCAAGTTTTGTTTTTCCTATTTGGGGCAATCATGTGATCAAACAGAACATATCCAGATGTCTTCAGCTGAATTCAGTGGCTTTAGATAACTTGAGCCTTTTAAAATTTTGCTTAATTATCATGAGCTGGGGAAATGGTCTCCTAGCTGCTGTATCAGCATAATGCCTGGAACAAGTAGACACTCAATAAATGGGTGTTAAATAAGTGGAAGAAATGGATGATCCTCTCCATCCAGGAGAATGGGCTGAAGTTCTCATTGGGGGTATGGGTCAGATGTCACAGAAACTCAGGTGACCTTGGGAGGCTTTTGTCCTGTAACCCTTCCCATCCCCCAAACCCCGGTCTTAATGGACTGCCCCTATTAAAGGCAGTGGTGCGCCAGAGTGCTCTGCCTCCCCCCCCAGGAGGTCTTATAATTTGCATTCCCAAAACGGCCTGATGGGGAGGCAGAGCTTCACAGGAGGGGGCTGGTGTGGGTCAGACCTTAGCAGGAGGAAGTAATTAAACAATCATTTTCTAAAAATAGCAGGCAGGGTTGGGGAGCCAACATATTTTCTGTGGCCAGCCTTGGATTCTGTCTTTCCCTGGCCACTGGTTGCGCTATCTCATTCCAGCCGGGAGGTGTCCGCTGGCTTTCAACTTGGGCCCCCAATGTTTAAACGAACACAAGTCCCGCTCGCAAAGTGAGCTGGGATGAATCGTCTTCCTCCCATGGCTCTGTACACAAAGCCAAAATACCAACTAGGACATTTTTCTGAACTGGAAAACAATTCTCCCTTGCTTCACCACAAATTTCTAGCTCTGGAACTTTTCACCTTAAGAAACTTCCAAGCCTGAAAAATCCTGCACACCTTGTAAAAATGTGGTCTGAGTAGAAGGCTAAGAAAGGCGGGACTGTCTGCAGTGTGTGCCGCCGGTAGTCCGGAAGGAAACTGAGATGCCTTCCTGGGTCCCCCACCGCCCCCACCTTCGTGCAGTCTTGGGTTTGCTACTCATCTTCCTCACTGTCCAGGCACAGGAATGGCTGGGGGCCCTGACATGCTCCACGTCAGAAAGGAGAATCCACGCTCCCTAGGAAGGATCAGCTCTTCCGGCTCCAGGTGACCTTGGGGAGCTCTGGCCCCGCAGCACCTGGGAGACCACCAGAGAGCACTTCCAGGTTTTGTGGCTATGGAGTCTCTTCTCAAACATATCTGGATTAGAACACTGGTTTAAAAGCCTGTTGTTTGAGGAAGGATAGTACCCTTCTTAAAGCACAAACTCTTGACCGACTGTAGAAAATGTAGAGCTGATGAGCGTGAGGCTGCCTGGGTCGGAGGGGTGATGGGTGCGGGCTGGGGACAGTGAGAGCAGTCCCTGGTGGGCCTGGCGGCCACTTCGCCCTGGCCTCAAGGCGCCACGCGGAGGGGGCCCAGTGCTGGAATGAGTCCTAATCCGATTCCACAATGGCTTCAAACCAGTGGTTTTTAGACGGACCGTAAGCCCCAGCGCCTGACGCTGTTTAGTTTGGACCCAATGAGCAAAGCATGAGTCACTAATGCAGCCAGTCTAGTTTCACGGCCCTGAGGCTCCCTTTCCTGGCCGGCTCACCCTTTGTCCGGGACCCATGACCGGCTTTCTTCAGTGTCAATTTCTGTTTGTGAAAACTAAAGCTATACCGGGGTGCACCTATCTCGTTCACGGACAGGGAAAGCTGCTTACCCTTCGAATCTCAGTCCTCCTGTCCATAATGTGAGGGCCCCAAAGGCTACCAGATGCTATTTATAACTTTGGAAAATGGCTTGGCGAGGGCACACAGATACGTATCATATTTACTAATTCACAGCATCCAAGCTGAGCAGCCTTTGCCGGCCAAGGAAACAACACGGCACACTTAACAAACCACATGTAATGGTCTTGCACGAGCTGACCTGTGGCCAGGACAAAATAGACCAGGACACCTTGAACAGTGACCCAAGCCCTACTGGCTGGTTTTGTATGACGAGTTTCCTGCGCTCCCCCTTCTAGCGTGTTCTCTGAGCACCTGTGTGTGATGTGCCAGGCACACACTCACTGTCACCAACACAGTGCAGTTACTTTCTGTGCTTCATCTAACTTCATCCCCGTGCCGCTCAGGGAAGGAGGTGTTGCTGTGCATCGATGTAAAGTGAACTAAGGTTTGGGAAGGGTCGGATGACTTTCTCCCAATCTCACAGTGGGTCCCGAAGCTCAGCTACTTGGGGCTGACGACTGAGACCTTCCATGAGTAAGACTGGCAGCAACACACTGGAAATCGTAACAGAATTTTCCCCACGGACTACTCCCCCGGATGTCTGTGCTTGTGAGGAGAAGCAAGCAGGAGGGTGTTCAGCCCAGCATCTGGGAGAGAAGCATCTCCAGCTCCAGGCACCAGAATTGTTCTCAGCTGTGGGAGAAATCCTAGCTCCCCGATCTTTCCAGCTCTAGGGCAAGTCCACAGTCCCTCCTCCTGAGTGACCCAGCGGTACCTGCGGAGCAGGGTGGGAGTCACTCACCCGTGGAGACGCTGGCCGAGGTGGGGGGGCTCCGGGCCTGCTCCTTCAGAGCGACCACGTTGACGATGTACTCCTCCCCGGGCTTCAGTCCTGTCTGGTTGAAGGAGGTGACATCGCTCGGGAGCTGGGCGATCACCCCTCCTTCATTGTTCTAGGGGGAGAGGGAAGCAGAGAAAGCAAAAGAAAATCACTGGGAGAGAAAGGCGTCCCGCTGCTTGTGACTTGAAAAATCGGGGCTACTCCTCTTCCCTCCATAAGGACAGCAAAAGTGTCTGGGGACAGGGGACGACTTCCAACAGGCTCGGCGAGAAGGCCACTTCTCTCAGGGGATTTGGCAGGTAGAGAAAATCAATTTTCAAGAACATTTTTTTGGCCTTTCCCGAGTCTACTGAGTTTGCTAATAAAAACTGGTCAGTAGGCTGGCTCTTGCCAAAGATGGAATGTTTGATGGTTAGAGTTGGCATCCATCAGACTTGGGGGCATTTATCATGAGGTTAGACAAGTAGTGGATGTGTGTAAACAGCTCTGTGTACACCCACGACACGTGCCAAACTCAGACATTTCCAGGTGTGTTTTTTTATGAGCCAGAGCTGTTATTTTACGTCTAGAGTTTCTCATGGTGTTACTCTGGGTGCGAACTCATCGATGTCTTGTTTCCTCTTCACTCTAACGAGTTAAGAGTCTGTATCCCAACCAACTGTAGGTGCAGGGAAGGGAAAAAGGCAGCATGGAACAGAAAATAGTACGGAGGAGAGAGGAAGGAGACAAACCAATAGGAAGGAAAGTAAGGAAGACCCATGGGATGATGTCGGGTCCCAGATTTGTTACCTCCCTCCCTCCCTCCCCGTCTGTCTGTCAGCACACATTTTCCGTGTGAGTCCCTGAAGGTGGTGGTGCACAGAGGACTGCTCTGTGACACTGTCCCTCTCCCCTGTGCCTTGGGCTCTCTTCATGCTGCCTGGAGCGCCACACACCAACTTCACAGCCATCCTCCTAGGAATCAGTGTGGAAAACGCCGCCCAGTGGCCTATAGATCCCATTCATTCTATGCGGCCATGTGTTTGACCTTGGCACACCCTAGCCAGCCCTTATTTTTCCCAGGTTGAATGTAAACCAGGCAAAGCTGGCGTCATGTTTTCTGCCTGGGCAGTAGGGTTCCATGATTCTCCCTGCTTTGTTGTACACCCACCTGCCCGCTACACTTTCCTGGCCACTTGAACACAAATAAGACGGTGAATTAACTATTGTATACAATGTCATTTAGACCTATTGAACTTGTGATGGTGGGATTGCCCACGAGAGGGAGGTGCACCCTGGTGCAGGGGACACAGCCTTGGAGTAGGCAGTAGACACCGGGTTCCTGGATCAGGCCTGCCACCGACTAGCTGTCTCAGTTCAAGTTCACAGAGCCTTGTCTCCATAAACAATACAGATTGGATGTAAAATGAAGGGTCTACTCTGTGAAGCTGAAGGTCTTTTGTAGCTCCAATGGCCCATGCCTGTTAAGAATGGTGAAGTCACAGTCTTGTTAGCCAAAAATGTGTCATGTACCATTAAGTCTGATGAATGACTGGAAAAACGCTCTCTGATATTGAAAGATGAAGCCAGAGGGAAGGAGCGTGATTCGACATTATGGCCCATGAGTCTTGGCGTTAGGAAGGACCGCAGCAGGCTCAGCCAGTCCGAGGAAACCAGAACGAGTCAGGGACCTCTGGCAACTCAGGAGTGTTAGTTTTAGGATTAGGAAAATAAAACACTACTTTAGAGAATAGAAAGGAATCTTGGGATACTTTTAACTCAAAGACTGATTGGGGAATTTGTTCAAGGAAAATTGTTCTCCGTTCACAGGTTATAAAAGGTGTTTCTGCAGTAGGCCCCTCGCCTTTAGAGGTCAAGGCCCTGCAAGCCGACTTCTGGCACCTCTGCAGGCCCAAATGAGGCTGTGGGCTGACCACGTGGCTGGTGCAGGTGGACTTTCCCTGTGTCCCAAAGACAACCCCCAGCTGTTGGAGGGTTTGGTATTCAGACTCACTCATGGCCACGGTCTGTGAAACCTTAGCACCTTCTGAGTGCTTGGCTGGTCTCTGCCTCCCAGGCTCAGAGTTATTCTTGCTGGTTGTCCCTCACCACGCCTGACAGCCCAGACACCCCCAGAATGTCCCGTGGTGGCGGGAGATACTGGGTAGTGCCTTCCTCCCTGCCTCTGGCCCCGTGGAGGGGGCGAACATGCCCCAGGAGGCCGCTGGTTTGGTGGTCCGACAGGTGGGGTTACCTTTGGGATGAAGCTGATCTCCCACCCATCGAAGGAGAAGGAGAAGGGCTCCCACTGCACCTCCACGGTGGTCTCTGTGATGGTCTTGAACTGTAGCCCACGGGGAGTGGAGAGATCTGAAACACAGCAGTGGGGGTGACCACGTCACGGCGATTGTACGGAGAGTGTCACCGGGGCTCCGACCGCGTGTGCGTGAGTGTGGTGGGCGATGCACCTGCTCACACATGGTGGTTCCCAGGGGTGGCCTGGTGCCAAGTCTTGGAGGAATCCATGAGCAAAGGTAACCCAATCTAATCAATACTTCTGTTTTCTATTCCATAATACCTTACTATGAAAGCATAAAAGTCGTGCCTTCCTCTCCTTACTAAGGTGGTGAATCTTGGCATTTCACATAATACCTTTTTCTGGGAACCTGAATGCTATCTTTGGGGGCTGTATGGATTCCTGAGAGGTGAGAGAATGGCCAATGCCAGCGTTCCCATTTCACCACCCAGGAAAAGGGAGGCACAGAGTTGGCTGGAGGAGCGGAACTCGCCCACTTCAGGATGAAGACTGGGATGCTTGCCTTGGCCCTCTGATGGGCAGGGAGAGTATTTTGTTCATTCAAATCACCACGTGTGGTATGGCCTGAAATTTCCACTTCATGTCCACAAGCAAAGCACAGCCATACACCACGGCCAGTGGCAGATCCTGGGGTTTTCGCTATTTGACTTATCTCCTTCTCTCCAGCAGTTTTTTGATTACTTCTCTCTTCTCTCCCTCACTCACCTTCACCTCCCTAATCTCGTTTCCTGCCTCCCCTACTCGCCTCCCCCCCTCCCCCATGTGCGTACTCTCACACAGGCACGGACAGGGCCCTGACATACGCCGGCGTGGCTTTTCTCAGTCCTGTGGGGAGCCTGCTTTCCACTGCACCTTCGTCTCTGTGGGGATGTTCCCGGCGGGGGGGTGGGGGGGGGGAACAAGCAGGCTTTCGTCCTTCCTGCTCGGAAGCCCTCTCGTGCTTCTGGGTGGAGAGGCAGGGCTGGTTCTGAGCCTACCTGAAGGCATGCCAGGTGAGTTGACATGATTTTGTCCTTGTCACCTGGGAGTGTGCCTGAGGGGATGCCCTTCCTTGGCATAAGAAACGCCACAGGAGATGGAAAACCTGGTCACTGCAGGGGCACGAGGGTCAGGGACAAGACGCCTGGGAGTGGGGCCAGGTGCTTGCTGTGCTGACTCGTCCCAGAGCAAGGTGGGGACAGAGGCAGATGGTGACCTGCCTCTCCATAACCACCGCATGTACACAAAACCTGTTCTCGGGCACCAGGGGAGTTAAAGAAAAAAAAAGATCACGTAGAAACAGAGATAATTACAGACATGCAAACAAAGTCGGCATTCACAGGAAGAGTCCGATATGATACCAGGCTACATTATCTCCCAAAAAACGAGGGACAAGCTGACTTCTTCAGTCCTGTCCCCCTTGCCTGTCTCTATCCTTGAATCCTTCAAAGTTCTCAGTTCAAGTCCTTGGGAACTCCGTGAAAGCTCCAGGCCAACTCTTTCTACAGTGACCCCCCCCCCCCTTTTCTGAATTCTCATGGTGTTTGTCACCCAAATACCATCTGGTCATTTGAGAATGACACAAATTGGGCTCCAACTTCTTATCTCATATTTAATGATGAATCTCATTTTCCAACCCAGGGGCTTCTGGGTCACAGTCACTCCTTGTCCTGGTTCTCTGCTACCGCCTCCGTGACATAATAAAATACACATTTGGTCTTGGCCACAGGTTCCTGGAACACTGCTCCTAGAACCCTGGGGACCTCGGGACTGGTAGGAGTATCTTTTGTATGATCATAGGATACCTGGTAGCTGGGCCTCCTAGAGAGCTGGTGTCTAGAAAAATCCACGCATGATTAGAGGCTTGGCATCTTCAGCTCCACCTCCCAGTCTCCACGCCTAAACCAATCGTGCGTCCACAGTCAGCTCCCCATAAGGAGCCTGAACAACGGGGTTCGGAGAGCTTCACGCTCCTCCCCCTACGTACCTGTCCTACCCCTCTCTTCATCTGGCTTCACCCTGAGTTGTGTCCTTTATAATAAGCTGGTCAGTAAAGCACTTTCCTGAGCTCTATGAGCTGTTCTAATAAATTATCGAATCTAAGGAGGGGTTGTGGGAACCCCTTGAGTGCATGGCCAGTGGGTCAGAAGTACCGGTGAGAACCTGGGGCGGGGGCTCCCTTGGAGACTGAGGCCTGAACCTGCAGGACCTGATGCTAAGTCAGAGCTGAACTGAACAGGTTGCCCACATGGTGTCTGAGAGTAGAAGTGCTGTTGGAAAAAAATGATTTAAGAATTCAGAGGTGCATAAAGAAAAAAATAACAGTGGTCTACTCCCTCAAAGAGTCAATATTAATAGTTGGTATGCAAGCTTTGAAAATTTTTCTGTGCTTAAACCTACAAAATATAGATATATAGGAGTTTTTTCTTGCTAGAAATAAGGCAGAAAAATGTCCATTTCTCACAGAAAGCAGTTGACTTGCTTTCTATCCCCATCTCTGTCCCAGTCTTTCTTTTTTTTCCCCCACTGAACTTTTCTAAACCATGTCCTAGAGCCTCAATTTTATCATCAAAATGGGGTAGCAAGCTATTTTGCCAAACGAATCATGCCAACCCTCTAAGAGAAGTGGGTATTGCCAGTTACGGCTTTAAGTAAGATCCTTCCCCCTTACAATGCCATCTACGACACGCTATAGAGAATGTGCTTATTTATGTGTCCCACCTCAGGTCCCCTGGTTTGGGGTCTCTAACTAGAATCAGTCCATATAATTCTCATCTTTCCTTGTCTTCCATCCAGACTCTGCCTTAGAACAAGTCAGGACTCAACAACTAAAGGACTTTGAGTTCTCTGGGTCTGTAACTGACAGAGCTGCCTGGGTGTGGAAACTCTCTGAATCGGAAGTGCCTTTTTGACGTACCCCTTCCTAAGTGGGTCATGTCAGGAGCCTGTCTCCCCACCCCCCAGAGTGGTGTCAACTGCAGGCGTCCCAGAGGAATTAAGAAAAGACACTGCACACTCTCACGAATGCTCATGGTCTCATGGAGGAGGACAGAAAAATGAAGCAGGACGGGGAGATGGTACGTACGGGTGGCCACCTTGGCAGTGATGGGGAGGCTGAGGATGTTGCTAATGACAGCGTGGACGCTGATGTTGTAGGTGAGACCTGGCTCCAGCTCGGTGATGGTGACACCCCGCCAATCTCCAGGCACCCGCTGCTGGAGCTGGAGGCCCGCCGGGGCCGTCGGCTGGTAAGAGATCACATATTCCGTCACTGCCATCGGCCCGTCCCATGCCAGCTCAATGGACCTGTCGCTGATACCAGCCACTCGCAAGTCCTCTGGAGGGGCAGCTACCGGGAGGCAATACACAGATAGCATGAGCTCAGAGGACTGCCTTCCCCACCCCCGACTCGTCCTGCTGCCTCACGGCTCACCCCACGTGCCCTGTCTGGATGCTCTGCTCGGCTCCATGGCTCAGGTGATTCGTAAGGCCCTTTGGGGCAACTTCCTGTCTTTCTGAGCTTGGGCCTCCCGTCCGTAGGGGACCCCGAGTCAGCAGTGTGCTGGACCCAGCTCCTACTGACTCGTGAAAGCTGACTGTCAAATGCTCCCGAATTTTGCAAGACAGTGGTTGAATACAGCCTTTGGGATAGGTTATTGCATTTTGCTGAGTATATTGTGCACCCACGTATTTGGCCCAAGCTTTCAGGGAAAAAAATCTTTCGTTTTAATTTTTAAATTCAATTATTTATATTTAGATACGTGTATTTTGTATTATAAAGGAATTTTAGCATTAATTTTAAACATATGGATATTGTTATGCTTTCTAGAGTTACGGTTTTTAATCCATGAGCAAAAATAAGAAAATTAAAAACATTTATATAGACACAGAACTAGTACTACCCATGTATAATGCAGATCCTTCTTTTTGCCTCAAAAATTTGGGCAAAAACGGGTACAGATACACTTAGGATTAAGTAAATTATACTAAAGACAAATTACTAAATACTCCAAACTCATCACTTTCATATTATTTCACTATTTTCTATGACCTTGAGGGAATCCACACCTGCTGTGTCCTTCCGCACAGGACTCCCGCCAACCCACACGTAGTAACGTCATGTTGTTAGTTTGAAACTGGCCTCGGAGGGAGTATTTACACCATGGAAATCAGCAAGAGCTACAAAGCAAGGCTTTTTATTTTATTTTTTCCTTCAGAGAGCTAGTCACTAGATACTTAATAGCATACGAGTGGCCGGAATTTATGGTAGTTTAATAACTTGTCACCAGATTATCCTAGAAGACAATATTTGATTTTTGCAAGAGGAAATAAAGGCACATTCCGGTTATCTTGCAAAATATAAGATGCCAAAACAGTAAGTCCTGGATATCATGGACTGCTAAAATCATTCAATAATGCCTTATTGGATCATTTTCTCTGTTAAAAAGACACTTTAAGTTTTGAAAGAAATGTAACTTGTGTTAAACTAGTTTTAATTAGCCTTGATCTTGGGATTGATGATAAAGAAGCATTCTTGATAGTATTGCTTTTCTTTCTTGTTCAACTGCTATTTAAAGAATCACCAAAGATTAAATCTCAGTGAAATGGTCTTTCATGTAGGGTCCTCCTGGGAAGAGAAGCTTCAACCAGGAGCGTGGTATTAAATCACTGAACCTTTAAGACCAATTAGGAGGCTAAGTCCCGTGCGCCTGTAATTGGATCTGCCCACAGATGAAATCAAAGATCGGGCCAATATTGAAATAGTCATAATTAACTGGTAAATTTATATGCAGGGGAGGCTTCAGCTAGTTTAAGAGTTGCCACTGGTTTTGAATTTCTCCCCTGAGAATTTTCACTTTTAATTTTTACAAGTGTGTGGGACCAGAGCCAGCTGCTGGTCACGGGCCCAGGCTCAGAGAATGCCTGGCCCCTGTGGGGCTCACACGTTCACCCTCAGCAGCCGCAGCCAGGAGGGGCCCAGACTCGGAGGAAGGAAAGTAAGAGCATGCATTTGCGGTATTGAGCACTGGCTTTGATTTCTTTGCCCCCAAAGTGTTCACTGTGGAAAACAGTCCACATGGCAGAGCTTCCGAAGACAGCAAATGTTGACCAGAACAAAACATTAAAAATTCATTGTTTACGTGTATAAAGCTAAGGAAATGTAAATTAAATTTAAATAATTAAACTTCCAAATGATAATTTATTAAGCATACATCATTTCTAATTCTGACATTATTAATGTTTGAACTGCACTGGGAACATTCTGTAGAGTTGGTTCATGCAGAGTAACTCCGGGACCAAGGGGAACAGGGTCGATCTGCAGAACTGTGAGTAGTTCACCTGGATATGGGAAACACTTATTAGGCACCAGGCCCCAAGTTGAACACTCTTGCGTGGATTGTCTCATTCTACCCTTCGCCAGCATTGTGGGATAGGGATGATTACTGCCCTGATTTAGTATGTGAGAAACAAAACTCTTTGTAAATACAGAAGCAAGCGTCTGAACCGGCAGAACAGGTCTAACGGGGTGTCCAACCTGCGGCCCAAAGGCTGCATGCAGCCCTGGATGGCTGTGAATGCCGCCCCACACAAAACCGTACATTTGTTTAAAACAGGATGAGGGTTTTTGTGATTACATGTTGCAACGTATTTAATGTGTGGCCCAGAGGCGCCAAAAGGTCGGACACCCCTGGAGAACCTCTCAGCCAGTAAACAACCACCTTTACATTTGCATAGCATTCCACAGTCTCTAAAACATGTTCAGACGCACATTCTAGCCAGAATTTTTTTTTAAATCCTTTAGAGCAGTGCTGCGAAACTGATCGGGCAGCTGTAAGGACCCCAACTTTACAGACTGAGAAACCGAGAGCCGGGTTAAGGGACTCGCCCAAAGTCAGGGAATTGGGTCCTAGGAGAAACGATTCTCAAGTCCACTGTGTCTGCACCCAGTGCTCTGCGCCCTCCACCCTGTCGGTGTGTCCGGCGTCGTCCTTCACTTCCGCGCAGCCGCCAAAGGAAACCAGGTGAGAGGATGATCCAGACAGTCCTTCAGGAGGCGAGTTCCAGCCCGGTGTGCCTCGCAGAGGTAAGAAACGTCCTTTTAAACAGCTTCTCTAGTGCTTGTCTCTTGTGATTCAGCACATCCATTCCAGGCTTCCTAGGTGAGGCTTCTCCCGTCACGGTGACAGAAACGGCCATTCCAAATTTCAAGGCCGCAACAACTCTTGGGGCATTTGGGACAAGTCAGTACTCCCTTCTGGTTCCTTCTTCCAGAAAGCAAAGCTAGTAATGCCAACAAAGGATGAGCCAAGAGGAGTATTTTGGGATTTTAAAGTAAAAAAGAGATGCAGATGGTTTTTTTTTTTTGTCTTTGACAACTTCACCTGGCAAATTTTAATCTTGAGACCCAAGGCGGGCAGCACACGCAGCCTTTACTTTGGGTGAGGAAGCGGCTGCAGTGGAGCGGTCCTGAGAGCCATGTCTCGAGGGGAGGGGCCGCCCCCACCTGGCCTGTGGCTTAGCAGCAGCTGTGTACACACTGGGTGTCAGTAATTCACGGGAAATGAAGCGATACTGAACTAGAAAGCAAGCTGTGGAGGAGCTGTGTGCCTTGTGCTCTGAATCTTGGGGGGGGTGCAAAGTAGTCTGAGGTTCCCACTTTGAAAGTAGGGGGAGAGCAGGCAGTTAAGGAGTAATAACAACCCGTGGCTTGAGGAGTGGAGTTGCCTGTGTCTGCAAACGGCCACGCTGGCTGCTTTGTGGATCTGCATCAATTTCACACTTAGTTGGGAGAGCAACAGAATTAGTTCCAGGAAGTGTCTTGCTCTCAGGAGTGAGTGACGACCGTCAGGTGCTGATGGCTGGGCTGGTGGCAGTGCTGGTGACGACTTCCCACGGGTCTGACGGCATCGCACACCCTGCCTTGCTGGCGCTTTTATTCCGTGGATTCAGAGGAGTCTCGGCCGGCACGCTGACCAGCTCCCGCGGGAACCTACTTCACGGGGGGGCCAGGTGTGGACAATCCATTTAATGGGCTTGAATTCCCGCTTCCAACATTGAGCTCTTTCCATCATTTGACACAGCTTGGCTTTCATATCAAAAGGCGATTTCTTTGTGTACATGGCTTTTCAAACATTTTTTTTAAATGCTGCTCTACTTAGCATCCCGGAGAGGATTAAAGAATGCTAGAAGGTGGTGTGCGACCGGGCTCCTCTTTCTCGCTCCACCACTAATTAGCTTCCTGGCTGGAAAAATCTTTGCCTCTCTGGACGGCTGCTTTTTACATCTGTGAAATTCAAAGTCTGGAGCAGCTGCTCAGGCCTGTTTAAGTGCTTCCTATTCACAAATTTATCTTCAGGCAGCCAGAGAAAAGGGGCAAACGGGCTGAGATGCTGTTCCATGGCCCATTACGAGTAAAGCCTGGGGGCCAGGAGTCCCACACGGTGGATGGCTACTGTCCACGCCCTTGCAAAGAGGAAGGAACAACCCAAGAGCAAGTCCATGCTGTGGCTCCCCATGGTTTCGCCTTCCTCCCTCCTGCCGGCCAGGTCAGCAGGCTACCATGGCTTGTGTGCACCTGGCCAGAGACATCCAACAGTGCACACATAGCCCCTCCCCCACGGCCTCTCCACAAAGATCAAGCCAAGGAGCACTTTAGATAACGACCTAGATGGTTGTGGGCAGACACCCGTGGTGGTCGGTTTAAAAGGCACGAGAACAGTGCCTCCCTCAGTGCCTGGTGGCTCCAGGGTTGCCATAGAAACAGATGGAGATGATGTAACTGTCCTTCCTCACATGCTTAGGAACCTGTAATTCATCCGGGCCTCCAGAAAGTGTGCCTCCAGCAGCACAGAGGGGACCTGTGGGAGGCAGCCTGGGCCCTGGTTCCCGAATGACCAGGAGGGTCTGTCTCCAGTTCAGTTTGCACCCTGGGTCAGATTTAAGACTCTGTCTACAAAGGCACCCACCCCCTGTAGAAAAACAGGGTCAAGAACATGGTATAGCTCAACCACAAGCACTCCTTTGGAAGCACGTGGACGACAGAAGGGCCACAGGCACAGCGGACCCTGAGCATCCTCAGGTGCCTCTCCCCATGGGTGGGAATCGGCCCCCCCCCCAGCACTGCCTAGTGACTTCAGATTCAGAAACATGGAGGCCTAACTTCTGCTTGAATTTTCTTTCAGAGGAGCTGGTGTAACATCTGAGTATACTTTTACAAAGATATTTCAATTCAGAAAGCCAAATTAGGAAGCTCAATAAGATCCCTGACTGTGGAAGAAAATGAAGCAACGTGGAAATGTTTTTTTCCTAAGCAGTGCACTATTATTTACTTGTGCCCCCTCTCCCCCATGGCTGTTATTGCCAGGGGTCTCCCGAATTAGATCTTCCTTTTAGATACCACCTTTGTAGTGGTGCCTGGGGTGTGGGCCGCATGTGGGGTTGGCTCCCACTTGCTGCCTGGACCAAGGGAGGCACAGCCTACTGATGCTTTGCACTAACTCTGCAGGCAGACCTTCGTACTTTCCTCCTGTTCGCGCTCAACTCCTTACCTACACACACACTGTTCCCCATGAGGGTGCTGGACCACTGCATCAACCAGCAACACCTGGCAGTGTGTAAGCACCTGCCTGGCCAGTCTGATTACTGCAGACTCACCAGGGTCCCAGGGGGCAGCGCTCAGAAGGGCTTGTCCTGGGACATGGGGAGAGACAAGGCAGGGTCTGTACTTTGCCACATACCACGTGCACTTTTTCCACCCAAACCTCGGAGGGGGAAATAGGGATGCACATTATACATGGGTAGTACCATGGGTAGTACCTGAAATACCTTGTATCTGTTCTTGTGTTTTGTAATTATTTGTTATACAGAATTTCTTGTACCATAATATGTGCAAAAATAAATGCTAGAATTTCTTTATAGTACAACAACCAAGCATGTAAATATAAATAAATAAAAATAAATAAATGAATGAATTAAACAATTAAAATGAAAGATTCTTTTCCTGAAAGTTTGGGCCAAAAATGTGGGTGCGTGATAAACACGGGCGTGCGTGATACACAGCAGAATACGGTATTTGGGGGCCAGGGAGGGAGCGTGTAGACACCCTCTGAGTTGGGGTGGCCTTGCCCAAGACGGTCCCACGGCCTGTCTCTCCACTTTCCTCTGCCTCCGGGACAGAAGATTGGGGTCACCAAGACCACTGCCTTCAGTCTCAGGGGTCAGACGCAACCTTCAGCGAGAACGACCTTTTCTGCCTTCCCCCCTTTAAGGCTTCCCCATCAACGGTGATGGGCTGAAGAAAGCAGATGAGCATGACCCAATGGGGAATTACATTGGCCTCAAACCCACCTTCCCTTCCACGTCTCTTGCCCCCTCCCGTGAGTGTGCTGGGCCACCCATGCCCAACGGCCGGGAGCCCCTCCTACCTGCCGAGCAGTCCGGGCCTTGGTATCCCTCGTTGCAGAAGCAGAGCCCCTCCTGGCACTGCCCTCGCCCACTGCAGGCGTTCGGGCACCGCCGCTGGCCGCAATCCTCCCCGACGTAGCCCTCCTGGCACCAGCAGGTTCCGTTGGCACAGGTCCCCTTCCCCGAACAGTCCCCGGGGCACTTGAGCAGGCTGCAGTCCTCGCCCACATAGGGCTCCTCGCAGACACACTGCCCGTCCACGCAGAGCCCCCGAGCGCTGCAGTCCGCGGGGCACCGGAGCTCGGAGCAGTCGTCACCGCTGTACTCGCTGTCACAGACGCACTGGCCATCCACACACGCGCCCCGGCCGGAGCAGCCCAGGGGGCAGTAGGGCTCCGAGCAGTTCTTGCCGAACCAGCCCTCGTGGCAGACGCAGCCACAGGACTCGAGGCTGAAGTTGCCGTGGCCACTGCACTGAGGGATGTAGTCCAGTTGTCCTGGAACGGTCAGGGAGAAGGTCAAAGGGCAGCAGTGGCACCCCCTGAACACGGTTCATGGGGAAGGGTGGGCAGAGACCTCCTCTCACTCCCCGATCAGACTTAGGTTGCTGAGAGCGGATCTCAGCCTGTCTAATCAGTGTCATAACTGTCTCCCCCGATATGGGTTGCCTGTGCCAAGCACGGTGCTGGGGGCAGGATACGTGAGCTCGGGGCCCTCGCACGCCGGGAGCTCCCCTTCAGTGCGCCCCGGCTTGGGTTCCCGAGGAGGAGGCCTGAGATGGGGATTCATGTGAAAATGACTCTTCAGAAAGTGCTCCCAGGAAAAATGGTGGGGAAAGGGGGGGTTCAGTGTGGCAGGATGCCGCTGGTCACAGTGCAGGTGACACCTCACCGAGGGTACAGGGCCATCCCCGGGGGGTGTGTACGCTCAGGCCCTTCCATTCTCTCTCTGGACAGGCCAAGAGGGGTCCCACAGCCCGAGGACAGTCCCTGACAAAGGCGCCCAGGTGCTGTGGGGACGGAAGGGGACCTGCGGGGATGTAGGCTGGGCACTGAGCCCGCTATGTAGGGCAAGGTCGTATGTGCTATAGACCCGCCCCGTCCCTGTCCCTCCTGCCATCCAGCTCCCTCTGCTCATTCATCACCACTCAGCTCCAGGGTCACCTCAAAGGCTCCCCACAACCTCGGCCTCATTTAGTCACTGCTTGCTGTGATCTTTTTAGGATTCCGTGCTTATCTCTGTCTTGGCCCTCACCACGCTGTAACCACAGCAGCGAATTTATCTGGCTCACATGAATCAAACAAACTTATTAAGCAAACACAAACCCAGTACCTGCCCGACATCCTTCTCTGCACTTGGCCTTGGGGATATGAAGTGCAGTAAGTTATATCCTGTTTAATCCTGTCACTTCAATCAGCCCCCGCGGCCGGAAAGGATTCAACACTGACATTGCTGAGTACAGCTCTCGCCCGTCGATTTTTCCATGTCCGCCATGGAGCCTGGGGGGAGGCTGGGAAAAAGCCACTTACAAAGCTGCCCAGCTGCCTGGGCCGAAAAGCGCTCATGTTCATGGACACACGTGAGCTCCCTGCATCCCCGGCTCCACGGGAAAACTGGCCTGACGGTTCTCACCAGCTGGACTCGTCTTGTCTGCAGACTACGTCTAGTTTTGGTTGGGAAGAGGAGCGGAGGTGAAAAAGCCCAAGACGCATGTCATTACTCAAAGATGATCCCTCGTCTGCCTGCATCTCAGGGTAAACGTGTCTGCTGGCCCTCTGGGCACACGGCCCAGCTGGGCCGCCTCCTGCTCTCACCCTGTGAGAGCCTGGAGACATCGGAAGGGAAAGCTGAACCCAAGACAGTACGATTCCTCTTCCTGAGGAACACATGCCTGTCCCTTCCAGGTGAGAGATGTGTACCCGTGGGCAGACACGGCTCCTGCGCACTGGGGCCCGCTGGCAATGGCTGTGCCTGTACGGGGCACCCTGGATGCCAGGCTTTCACCCGAGTAGCTGCTTTTATGTTCAGTGACTCTCAGCCACTCCTGTGTCTCAGCATTTGTCGGTGGGAAAAGAAAAGCAGGGCCCACAGAACTTGCTTCAGGATTAAGCCAGTAAGTAGCAGAGTTGGGATTTGAACTCAGGAAGTCTGGCTCTGAAAATGTAATGACCGCTATCGGAGACACACAGGCAGCACTCACAGGAGTTACTCATCAGGGGGTAGGGGCGGCTAGAAGTACCTCCCTGGACATTCAGGGGGCAGCGGGATAAGCTCTGTGAAGTATGTGCACGTGTGCGTGCTGCTGGAGGGGTGAGGGCCAGGACTTCCATTTTGCACAACGGGGGCGGGTCCTCAGAGACCTGGGTGCCTATCCTTCGCTCAGATGGGAGGAAAGCTATGACTGAGTGAGCATGACACCTGGGGCTGGTAGCCCCCAGTTCCTCGGGCTGCCACAGATACACCTGATCCAACAGCCTGTGAGAACCTGGGATGAGTTCAGACAGACACCAAATTCCCTGCTCGCCACCGATGCTGCTGTGCAGAACCGGGGCGCCGTTACCAGACTCAACTGCCACCGTCAGGCTAACGTATTTCAAACTGGCGAAGAGAGTGGTGCCAAGAATTGAACCCGTGGGGAAGGACCACCTTTCAATCTTAGAGGTGTTTTAACAGAGAGCTGCAGACTGGGGTGCCTGTTCCCCCTCTCCTTCCCCACCCGAGGCCTCTGCAGGCCCAGCCCTACCTGTGGCAGCACCATCTTGGCAGCAGCTGCCGCACTGGTCCCGCAGCACCGACACCTCCCTCTCCAGCATCTCGATGCGGCTGAGTAGCTCCTGCAGCACCTGGGCCGAACCAGCGCATGGGCAGGCCTGTTTGGGGAGTTGGATCTTGTGGGTGAAGGTGACCTGGCTCTCCTGGTCGGAGGTCTGGCCCAGGTACTCGGCTGGCTCCTCGTCTTCCACACTCACCTCCCTCTCGGCAGAGGCCTCCAGCCCTGAGGAGCAGAGGCTGTCCAGGGGCACGTTGATGTTGCACACGTGGTTGAAGACCACGGGCGGCTCATTGTCGGAGGTGTTGTAGCTGGCCACGCCTCCCTCCTCCTCCACCGCCTGTCTCTGGACCCTTTCCGTGGGCACCTCCAGCTGACACTCTGAGGGCTTGAGCATGGAGCCCAGAAGGATCAGGTTGACGCCGAGGAGCATGTTCTTCAGGACCCCTGTTTCCCCGTCCGCCCCCATCCTCTCTGCAGAGCCCCGGGGTCAACGCCGGCCTGTGGCACACAGCATGGAGCTGTCGGAATCTGCAAAAGAAACAGGGCTGAGATGGCCTCGGAGACCTGCACCTGGGGCCACCCTGGGTACCACCCTGCAAAGCCACAGAGCAGGATGCAGAGGACTTTCAAGGGCAAGGTTGGGAAGGCACAGGAGCTGTCAGGTCCTAAAAGCCCAGAGCTTTGTCCCCTGGAGGGAGGGAACCCTGACACAGACATGGCTCCTGCTGAAGAACACCTGGGTTTCCCAAAGACTTGTCTGGGACGCACGCGTCTGGACCCTGTGGTGGCAGGTGATCCCAGCAAACAGAAGGTGTGAGGGCAGGGGCCCTGGGACACTGTGCAGAGGCCATTTCTCCCCAGAAAACTCAGGGCTTCCTTCCACTGCTGGGTGAGAATTAGAACAAAGTCCCTGTGGAGCCTCAGGTGCACCCTCATTTCCCCAGCTGAGCAGGGGCCTCGCCAGCCACTTCAGAATAACTTATTAACTCCTCTGAGCTCATCTCTTCAATACAAATTGACTTTGGAGTAACCAACCAGGCAGATAATATAGTTCCAGGTAATTGTGGCTGTTAATAACCCTTGGGTACATTTGTGATGATCTGGGACTGTGTGAGCTGAACTTCCTTTTAATCTTCTCATTAGTGTCGTCCCAACGCTGTGTGATCACAGGGGTCCTTTCTTCCAAAGTCCTGTTTCAATCGCTAAAATAATAAATCAGCACCTCTGCTGGTCACCGCATCAGGGGGAGAGCCACAGAGAACAAGACATTTACTGGAATGCAAACCCATTGTGTGGAAATTGTATTTCTTTTCTACTTCCCACGTGAAGGAGATAATAAGGCTCACAAACTTTGGTTCTAAAGGTGGTATGAGAGGCGCTGAGAAGAGGAAGAACTGACAGAGGGTGATGCGAGAGGAACTTTGAGTCCGTGGGCAAAACCACACACGGAACGAATGCTTGCTGAGTGTCCCTGGTGCGCAGACCGCACCGTGCCGCTCTCCCGTGGCCTTAGCTGACCCTCAGCACAACCCTACGATGGACATGATGCTCATTCCTGACTTATGAAGGAGGAAATTCTGCCTAGAGAGGTCGGGGTTTGAGTGCAAAGGTTAATTAAGAGCTGGACTCCAGAGTCAGGCTGTCTGGGTGCAAACCTCGCTCCTTTGCTGTGCTTTGTAACTGTGAGAAGATCATTGAACCTCTCTGGGCCCCCAGTTTCTCCATCTGTAAGGTGGGGATCATGAGTACCTACAGCTGACGGAACTGTGGTGATGACTGAGTTAGCACCTGTGTAACACTTAGCTGGAACCTGACACTCGGTAAAACAAACACGCACTCTTCGCCGACAGGTAGATTAACTGTTCCGGTTGCTGTCCTATCCGGGTCAGATACAACCTCATAACCACCGTCAGGGCTTCGCGCTTCACTGTGGATAAATGGTCGCTGCTCACAGACACGTCCACACGCCAAATGTTTATGACCTAGTGCCTGTCCTTGAGAAACTGTCCTCAGTCTCACAGAGGAAACGGAAACACAAGTAAATCTAACGGCTTTGCAACGTGATCATGACTGTGACCAACAAGAACATGAAACCCCCGGGGGCTGCAGTGACACCGGCCTCGCTGCTGGGAACAGCAGGGACATCCACTCAGGGGGTGCGGGGGGCCACTGTGCCACTGGCCTGGGGTTCCTGGCCTGGCTTCCAAACACATGGTAGGACTATACTGTCCAGGACATGATTCCATCCGCAGCAACACCGACAGCCAACTGGGCATTTACCAGGCACCAAGATACGTGTTTTCCTTAAATTATTCCATTCGTTCTTGACAACGACCATATAAGAAAGGCGGGGACTTCTGGCCAAGATGGAGGTGTAGGCAGACACACTGTGCCTCCTCGCACAACCAAAATAAGGACAACAACAATTTAGAAACAACAACCAGAACTGGCAGAAAACTGAACTGTACAGAAGTCCGACAACCAAGGAGTGAAAGTAGACACATTCATCCAGACCTGTTGGCGGGGTGGAGTCGGGTGGCCGAGCGGAGAGGGGTCTCGGCACAAAAAGCAGTGGCACAAGGTGTGTACAAGGCAGGAGCTGACAAACCCCGGGCGTGCAAGATGGCAGCGGGAGGACCCTGGGTGCACTGGTGGCGGCCGGCAGACTTAGCGAGGCGGAGATTGCGAAGCGGGACGTGGCACACAAGGTGGCTGGCTGACCAGGTGGTCCCACATTCGTGCACAGATAAACCAGGAGAAACTGGGAGCGAGATAGACCATGCAACCCAGGGTCCCAGCACGAGGAAATAAAGCCTCAAAATGCTGATTGGAAACACCTGTGGGGGCTGAGGTGCTGGGAGAGACTCCCAGCCTCACAGGAGAGTTCGTTGGAGAGACCCACAGGGTCCTAGAACATACACAAAACCACCTACCTGGGAGTCAGCACCAGAAGGGCCCAGTTTGCTTGGGGGAAGCAGCGGAGGGGACTGAAATCCGACAGAGAGCGGAGCAAGCGCCATTGTTTCCTCTCTGACCCCACGCCCACAAACAGCGTCACAATTCAGCGACGTGGGTGGCCCCGCCCTGGTAAACACCTAAGGCTCCGCCCCTCATATGTAACAGGTGCGCAAGGCAAAAAAAAAAAAAAAAGGCCCAAACAGAGGAACAGGTCAAAGCTCCAGGGCAAATACAAGTAAGTGACCAAGAGGTAGCCAACCTATCAGCTGCACAGTTTAAAGCACTGGTGATCAGGATGCTCACAGAATTTGTTGAATTTGGTTGCAAATTAGATGAAAAAATGAAGGCTACCTTAAGTGAAATAAAAAAAAAAGTACAAGGAACCAAAAGTAATGGGAAGGAAACTGGGACTCAAATCAATGGAATGGACCAGGAGGAAGAAAGAAACAACCAGACAGAAAAGAATGAAGAAACAAGAATTCAAAAAATGAGGAGAGGCTTAGGAACCTCCAGGACATCTTTAAACGTTCCACCATCTGAATTATAGGGGTGCCAGAAGGAGAAGAGGAAGAGCAACAAGTAGAAAAGTTATTTGAACAAATAGTAAAGGAGAACTTACTCAATCTGGCAAAGGAAATAGACTTCCAGGAAGTCCAGGAAGCTCAGAGAGTCCCAAAGAAGTTGGACCCAAGAAGGAACAGACCAAGGCACATCATCATTACAATACCCAAGATTAAAATTAAGGAGAAAATCCTACAATCAGCAAGAGAAAAGGAGGCAGCTACCTACAAAGGAGTTCCCATAAGATTGTCAGCTGATTTCTCAAAAGAGACCTTGCAGGCAAGAAGGGTCTGGAAAGAAGTATTCCAAGTCATGAAACCCAAAGACCTACATCTAAGATTGCTCTATCCAGCAAAGCTTTCATTTAGAATGGAAGGACAGATAAAGTGCTTCTCAGATAAAGTCAAGTTAAAGGAGTTCATCATTAGCAAGTCCTTATTATATGAAATGTTAAAGGGACTTATCTAAGAAAAAGAAGATCAAAAACATGTACAGTAAAATGACAGCAAACTCAAAATTATTAACAGCCACACCTAAAACAAAAACAAAAGCAAACTAAGCAAACAACTAGAACAGGAACAGAATCACAGAAATGGAGATCACATGGAGGGTTATCAGTGGGGGAGTGGGAGGAGGAGAAGGGGGGAGAAGGTACAGAGAATAAGTAGCATAGATGGTAGGTAGAAAATAGACAGGGGGGAGGGTAAGAATAGGGGAAATGCAGAAGCTAAAGAACTTATGACACATGGACATGAACTAAAGGGAGGGAATGTGGGTAGGAGAGGGTGTGCAGGGTGGAGGGAAATGAAGGGGGGAAATGGGACAACTGTAATAGAATAATCGATAAAATATATTTAAAAAATTTTTAAATAAAAATGGAGGAGTGGTATCTAGGAGTTGAGCTATTTAGTAACTGGTGGGGCTTAGGCAACAACGGATCAGAAGGGGCATCCACCAATCGGACCAGCGGTAAACAACCAGGGGGGCTCCGTGGTGACCCCACTATGACAGTAGGTCTTTTTCTAATTTCCGTTGTGGACACAGGGACAACGAGCTTCAGGAAAGGCCAAGGAGTTGACCAAGACAGACAACGCACGAGCAGAGGAGCCAAGACTGAGCCTGGTATAGCGACCACAGTGTGCACTCTTTAAAAACATTAAAAAAAAATTGATGTTAGAAAGAGGGGAAGGGAGGGAGAAAGACAGGGAGAGAAACATGGATGTGAGAGAGAAAGATCAATCGGTTGACTCTTCCATGTACTCCGACTAGACTAAGTACCGAACCCACAACACAGGCATGTGCCCTGACCGTAATTTGAACCTGCAACCTTCCCGTGTGCCAGTGCTCCAGCCAACTGACCCACACCAGGCAGGGCAGTCTGTGCTCTCTTAACGGCGGTTTCTCCACCACCTTTAATTAGTGGCTGCACACCATTCTCGCGTGGAAAGGCATACAAATCAGCCCGCTTACAAATCAACGTGCCCCTCTCCCTGAATGAGCCCCTGGACTCCCTGACGGTGATGACGTTCAGTGGGATGTTTACTCCGCTCATCCTGTCCCTGCCCCAGACACTGCTTCCGTCTCTCTGCCCGGAGGTGAGGCTGGTCTCATGGTACCCAGCCTACGCTGCATCCCAGGAAGCCAGAGTAATTTTCAACCAGAAACCGCAACCCTAGAGGGGGCCGGAGACACGTCTGAGACTTGGTCTGAGACTTGCCCTTCCCCGCTGCGTCAGCGGTTACAGAAAACAGGGCCGGAGGCAGCACCCTCCGGCTCTGTTCACTTCTCTGAGCTCCCCATGATGAGTCGCTGTCACCGGCCACTGTTAATCACGCTGCAGACCCTCCTGCTTCTCGCTTGCATCTGCACATTTGGTTTGGGTTGCTTTTCTGCACGGAGAGAAGGTGGGCTGAACCGCATGAGGGGCGTCCCTTTTCTCACTTCTTCTGAAGCCTTGCTGAAGGCGAAATTGAGCTAACGCTTATTAACACCTACTTAATAAACGTGCC